AGCACTACCAGCTGCACCAGTGTATGATAACAGCAGCACTACCAGCTGCACCAGTGTATGATAACAGCAGCACTACCAGCTGCATCAGTGTATGATAGCAGCACTACCAGCTGCACCAGTGTATGATAGCAGCACTACCAGCTGCACCAGTGTATGATAACAGCAGCACTACCAGCTGCACCAGTGTATGATAGCAGCACTACCAGCTGCACCAGTGTATGATAGCAGCACTACCAGCTGCACCAGTGTATGATAGCAGCACTACCAGCTGCACCAGTGTATGATAGCAGCAATACCTGGAGTTTACCTGGAGAGACTTTCGGGGGTCAACGCCCCCGCGGCCCGGTCTGTGACCAGGCCTCCTGGTGGATCAGAGCCTGATCAGCCAGGCTGTTGCTGCTGGCTGCACGCAAACCAACGTACGAGCCACAGCCCGGCTGGTCAGGAACCGACTTTAGGTGCTTGTCCAGTGCCAGCTTGAAGACTGCCAGGGGTCTGTTGGTAATCCCCCTTATGTGTGCTGGGAGGCAGTTGAACAGTCTCGGGCCCCGGGCACTTATTGTATGGTCTCTTTTAAGGCTAGTGACACCCTGCTTTTCATTGGGGGGATTTTTGCATCGTCTGCCAAGTCTTTTTCTTTCGTAGTGAGTGATTTTCGTGTGCAAGTTCGGGACAGTCCCTCTAGGATTTCCAGGTGTATATAATCATGTATCTCTCCCGCCTGCGTTCCGGGAATACAGGTTTAGGAACCTCAACGCTCCCAGTAATTGAGGTGTTTTATCTCCGTTATTGCGCGCCGTGAAGGTTCCTGTTCATTTTCTAGGTCAGCAATTTCACCTGCTTGAAAGGTTTCTGTTAGTGTGCAGCAAAATTCCAGCCTAGATAGAACAAGTGACCTGAAGAGTGTCATCATGGGCTTGGCCTCCCTAGTTTTGAAAGGGTTTTCATTATCCATCCTGTCATTTTTCTAGCAGATGCGATTGATACAATGTTATGGTCCTTGAAGGTGAGATCCTCCGACATGATCACTTTCCCCGGGCTTTGACGTTGGGGTTTCGCTCTATTTTTTGGCCAGAATTTGTTTTGTACTCTGATGAAAAATTTAATTTCCTCGTGTTTACCATATCTGAGTAATTTAAATTTCTCATCGTTGAACTTCATATTGTTTTCTGCAGCCCACTGAAAGATTTGGTTGATGTCCGCCTGGAGCCTTGCAGTGTCTGCAATGGAAGACCTTGTCATGCAGATTCGGGTGTCATCTGCAAAGGAAGACACGGTGCTGTGGCTGACATCCTTGTCTATGTCGGATATGAGGATGAGGAACAAGATGGGAGCGAGTACTGTGCCTTGTGGAACAGAGCTTTTCACCGTAGCTGCCTCGGACTTTACTCTGTTGACGACTACTCTCTGTTCTGTTAGTGAGGAAATTATAGATCCATCGACCGACTTTTCCTGTTATTCCTTTAGCACGCATTTTGTGCGCTATTACGCCATGGTCACACTTGTCGAAGGCTTTTGCAAAGTCTGTATATATTACATCTGCATTCTTTTTGTCTTCTAGTGCATCTAGGACCTTGTCGTAGTGATCCAATAGTTGAGACAGACAGGAGCGACCTGTTCTAAACCCATGTTGCCCTGGGTTGTGTAACTGATGGGTTTCTAGATGGGTGGTGATCTTGCTTCTTAGGACCCTTTCAAAGATTTTATGATATGGGATGTTAGTGCTATTGGTCTGTAGTTCTTTGCTGTTGATTTACTGTTCCCTTTGTGGAGTGGGGCTATGTCTGTTGTTTTTAGTAACTGTGGGACGACCCCCGTGTCCATGCTCCCTCTCCATAGGATGGAAAAGGCTCGTGATAGGGGCTTCTTGCAGTTCTTGATGAACACAGAGTTCCATGAGTCTGGCCCTGGGGCAGAGTGCATGGGCATGTCATTTATCGCCTGTTCGAAGTCATTTGGCGTCAGGATAACATGGGATAGGCTTGTGTTAATCAAATTTTGTGGCTCTCTCATAAAAAATTCATTTTGATCTTCGACTCTCAGTCTGGTTAGCGGCTTGCTAAAAACTGAGTCATATTGGGACTTGAGTAGCTCACTCATTTCCTTGCTGTCATCTGTGTAGGACCATCTTGTTTAAGTAGGGGCCCAATACTGGACGTTGTTCTCGATTTTGATTTGGCATAGGAGAAGAAATACTTTGGGTTTCTTGCGATTTCATTTATGGCTTTTAGTTCTTCCCGCAATTCCTGACTCCTAAAGGATTCTTTTAGCTTAAGTTCGATGCTTGCTATTTCTCTGACCAGTGTCTCCCTACGCATTTCAGATATATTGACCTCTTTTAGCCGCTCTGTTATTCTTTTCCGTCGCCTGTAAAGGGAGCGCCTGTCTCTTTCTATTTTACATCTACTCCTCCTTTTTCTTAGAGGAATAAGCCTTGTGCATACATCGAGTGCCACCGAGTTAATCTGTTCTAGGCATAAGTTGGGGTCTGTGTTGCTTAGTATATCTTCCCAGCTTATATCGGTTAGGACTTGGTTTTACTTGGTCCCACTTTTGTTTTTGTTATTGAAGTTGAATTTGGTGAATGCTCCCTCGTGTCTAGTCTCATTATGTCGGTCTGGGGCTCCACGCATACATGTCTGAACCTCAATTATGTTGTGATCTGAGTATATTGTTTTTTATATGGTGACATTTCTTATCAGATCATCATTGTTAGTGAAGATGAGGTCTAGTGTATTCTCCAGTCTAGTAGGCTCTATTATTTGCTGGTTTAAATTGAATTTTGTGCAGAGATTTAAAAGCTCGTGTGAGTGTGAGTTTTCATCAGAGCTACCTCCTGGTGTTATTACTGCAACAATATTATTTGCTATATTCCTCCATTTTATGTGCCTTAAGCTGCACCAGTGTATGATAGCAGCACTACCAGCTGCACCAGTGTATGATAGCAGCACTACCAGCTGCACCAGTGTATGATAGCAGCACTACCAGCTGCACCAGTGTATGATAGCAGCACTACCAGTTGCACCAGTGTATGATAGCAGCACTACCAGCTGCACCAGTGTATGATAGCAGCACTACCAGCTGCACCAGTGTATGATAGCAGCACTACCAGCTGCACCAGTGTATGATAGCAGCACTACCAGCTGCACCAGTGTATGATAACAGCAGCACTACCAGCTGCACCAGTGTATGATAGCAGCACTACCAGCTGCACCAGTGTATGATAACAGCAGCACTACCAGCTGCACAAGTGTATGATAGCAGCACTACCAGCTGCACCAGTGTATGATAGCAGCACTACCAGTTGCACCAGTGTATGATAGCAGCACTACCAGCTGCACCAGTGTATGATAACAGCAGCACTACCAGCTGCACCAGTGTATGATAGCAGCACTACCAGCTGCACCAGTGGATTGGTGAACAGAACCATCAACGTAAATAATTTGTGAGAGAGTGTGCTGTGTGACTAAGTTATCAATACAGCTTAAAGCATCATGTTTGGCTTCAAGACGAAGTTTTGGTTGTGATTTAAGAAGTAATTGGGGGGGGGTAAGAATGGAGGAATGATAGTTTGGAATGATTTAATATCCCATGGAGCGGAGAAGTGCTGCTGTTGCCTTACTTGACATAGATCATGTATCTGATTCATGCGGAGGTCGGTTCCAGTTTTTTCGATTCATCTGGAGGGATGTTCACCAGTGCTGAGGAAAGTTTGGAGGCTTCTGTGCAGGGGTTTGAATGGTGTGAAAATTTGTGTGGACTGCCTCCAAGTGAGTCGCCTACCCTGGCAAGCTCTGTTGACACCGAGCTCTGAGGTGGGTACCTCAGCCTCACAAGTGGCTTATAGGACAGATTTTCACAAATGATTGATGTTGCAAGAAAACTCGCCTGCATGCACATATAAAGGACTAACTTACTTGGTGTTGCAGCATATATCCTGATCTTCAACTTCCCTAAGCTTAGCCTTAGCCCCTTTGGACTTCCCCTCAGAAACCACGTGCAACCGGGAGCCTTAATTCCTGCAATATTCAATCGTTATTAGTGTCCTGTCTGCACCTCAGAAATTCCTATATCCAAGAGGGTATGTATCCCCTAGTATAACTATGCAGACACGGACACTAGCTTCCAGACTGCCCTGAGACACTGGTACTTACTGGGCATGCACTGCCTGTTGCACACCGGGCCCACAGATCAACTCACTCACAATCTCCCCAGACACTGGCCAGAAATCTACGAGATAAAGTGGAGGTCTTGTCTTACTGTATGGGCCTGACGGAGGTCATCTACGGTACATCGAGGTGCCTCTACCAGATTTCCCCAGGTCTCAAATGTGAAGACACGTGGGGGGCGCCGTCTGCTGATCACGGCACGTCTTTTCCAGTTCGTGTCTGTCTTAAGAAGAATGAGCTGGTCTCTCTTCCATACCCTCATCTCTTCATTCAAACTAGGGCTGCCAGTTCTCCCTAGCTAACTTATCTTAGTGTTTGCCTACATTATCGGCCTATTACTACCTATGTTAAGGTCTTAGGTCTACATTATTATTATCTACAGTTGCCTTAGTAAACCTAATATTAATATACTAACAGTAAAACTACCTACTCCTTCCCTGAAGAGTAAATCTATAAATTAAATAAATGCCTACCAACAATTGCCACCCCCTGGGGAGAGATATGTGTTTGTTTGGGAGGGTTTAAGGGCCACCCAGCTCAGCCGTTCTATTACGGCCATGCTGGATCTGTCCTGTGGAACTTTAGGGACCAAATAAATTTCCACAAATGGGCTTGCCTGAGCATGTTATCCCCAATTAGGATATTTCTTTAAGTAACACAATCTCTGATGCTTGGAATATCAAGTTTTTTTTTTTTGTTTGTTTTTTGCATATTTAAAATTTCAGCAGTACGAGGGCATCGTAAAATGATCCTCTGTCTTTCATTTCTCCAATTACACCCTCTCTTCCTTCCTCTACCCATGTATCCCTGCGTGTCCTTGTGTGGACACAGTATGTCCTGTTGGGTTCTTCGGGAAGGAGTGCAACGAGAGATGTGTCTGTGGCCCTGACCAACCCTGTGACCACGTTACTGGCGCCTGCATGTGTCCACCTGGCCGCCATGGACACCAGTGCCAGGAGTGTAAGTATTATCCCACACACACAATATGCACTCACAGGCACATACATGTGCATGTATAAACAGGAGCTGTGAATCGACCCCTGCAACCAAATATTGGTGAGGACACACAGACTAAGTGAAAAGAAGCCTAAATTTTTATAAACAACAAAATACCCACGTCACTTTATTTTTTATTTAAGTATTGATAAAAGACAGGTTAATACAACACAATCAACTGTATAGATTTACTTTATTTAATTAGAGGAAAGCACTAAACTCGTAGGGGCTACATAGCACCTGAGTAATAGGAGGCAATCAAGTTTGATCCAGTTATTATTATAATTATAATCACGGGGAGCGCTAAACCCGTAGAATTATACAGCGCATGTGGGGGGGATATGAAAGGTATTCAGGTTCATTTCAGGGAACCAGAGCACAGATCCAATTCTCTAGATCAAGAGTCTCTCACCAGCATCAAGGAACCTCCCTTAAAGGGTGTTTGATCCAAGAAAGGGGAAGGTAGCTCAGTTCCTTGGATCAGGAGCCCTGCAGTCGAAATGAAGAGAACTTGTATTCAACACTTGAATATTTGCAACAGATACTGAAGTGTTGCCATCGTAGTAATGTTTCTGTAGATGCTGCTGACACAAGTACCTATTTATCCCTCCAGATTGTGAGAAAGGGCGGTGGGGCAAGGAGTGCCTACAGGAGTGCCAGTGCCCAGACTCGAAGCTCTGCGACCCCATCACCGGCAAGTGTTACTGTCCAGCTGGTCGCCGCGGCAATCACTGTCGTAGACACTGCCAGCCAGGACGCTACGGTGTTGAGTGCAAGCAGGTGTGTCAGTGGGAAAGAGGGAGGGAGTAAACAGGTGGGTGAGGTGAAAGGGCAGAGTGGAAAGGGAAGGAAAAATATGAGGGCAAGGAATAAAGAGATAAACTGAGTGCAGACAAGGAAAGGAAAAGGAGAGAAAGGCAAGGGAAAGGGCAGATAAAGAGTGAAGGTAAAACTTTGCATGGGGAGGGACAAAAGAAAGTGACAGAGAAAGGAGAAAGACAGAGAAAAAATAAGGAGAGGAACCTAAAGGAACGACAAGGAGGGGAGACTTGAGAGAAAAGAGTAGGGGGATGGCCATCAAGCTCTGAAATTTTGAGTAATGGGTAAATAAGTATCCTCTCTGTCTAAACCACATACAATGCTAGGTTTTTCACGTAGCGACGGTGCTGGGAAAGTCACCCAGGCACAACCTATGGAGGCAAGTTCTTATGTTGGTTAATGATACTAATTTCGACTGTTACATCTGTTATACATAGTAACATACAGGAGACCCCACTTATACAGCAGGTTAGGTTCCAGGCTTCTGCTGTAAGGCAAAAAGTACTATCGAGTTAATCAATTTTTTTTTTTTTCATTTTCACGTGCACATAAAAAACTGATGACATATTTACACTATCATATATTAAATGAGCAATATAGTTAGGTCTAAAAAATGCATATACAGTACATATATTACTTATCTTAAAATATTTTCATCTTAGCTTATAGTGAATACAGTATATTTATTGTAAAAAGTCTGAATAAATGAAGAATGAGTATAATTGAAAACTGCTGTATTAGCAAAACAATGTTAAGTGAAGCGCTGTAAAGTGGAGTCTGCCTGTATGTGCAAATTAATGTACAGTATCCCAGTAAGTGGCCCGGTGGTCTGGTGGCTAAAACTCCCGCTTCACACACGGAGGGCCGGGTTCGATTCCCGGCGGGTGGAAATTCCGACACGTTTCCTTACACCTATTGTCCTGTTCACCTAGCAGCAAATAGGTACCTGGGTGTTAGTCGACTGGTGTGGGTCGCATCCTGGGGGACAAGATTAAGGACCCCAATGGAAATAAGTTAGACAGTCCTCGATGACGCACTGACTTTCTTGGGTTATCCTGGGTGGCTAACCCTCCGGGGTTAAAAATCCGAACGAAATCTTATCTTATCTTATCTAAGTCAAACAATGACTTTATTTCCTGTACACCATATACGTACATGTAACTTGACTCTAGAGGAATACATATAACAAAATATAAGTCAATCATTAGGACTATGGACAACAATTCTACTTATTTAACTTTGTTAAATGACTTAGCACATTTACCTACTTAACTTTCCTCCTGGGCTTGGCATGGCACCATGCAGAAGTGCCAGTGTGGTAATGGTGGCACCTGCAACCCTGAGACAGGAAAATGTGTGTGTCCCCCAGGCTTTTATGGGCCTACCTGCCACCTGTCCTGCCTCACCGACGCTCGCACCTCTCAGTGCAACCAGGTGAGATATGCTGGTATTCTAGGGGTATTGCTATTGTTATTATTATTATAATTGGGGGAAATGCTAAACCCAGGGTGGTCTCACAGCGCATAGGGAAGGCATTCAAGTTTGATCCAAGAAAGGGAAGGATAAGTCCACTTTCTTGGATCAAGAGACCCTTGAGGAGTATACTGTGAAGTGTATTATTATTACTGTTACACTGTATTCACAAAAAAACACTGAACATGTTCCTTGTTAATACATGGTATTACCTCTGATTAAATTTATCAAATATTATTATACTCGCGGGAAATCTCTGAACTCATATGGGTTATGCAGTGCCTGGGAAATGGGAGGAAATCAAGTATGAACTAAGGAAAGATAAGGCAGCTCCAATTTCTTAAACCAAGAACCTACCACCAGCTTGAAGGTTTCCCTTGGAACAATATTAAATGTTCATCAGGAAAAAAAAAATATATATAACAATAGATTTCTTGCAGTTTTATTCTAGCTTTATTTTTCTTTTGGGTACCAGACTTGCGAGTGTGAACACGGGGGTGTGTGCAGTGGCTCTGGAGAGTGTCGGTGCCCAGCCGGGTATACGGGGCATCGCTGTGAGCATGTCTGTCCCAACAACACTTGGGGCCTCGGCTGTGACTTCAAGTGTCAGTGTCAAAATGATGGTATCTGCCACCCAGGTGAGTGAGACTCTTATGGTAGAGGTTAAAACCATGTTTTACATTTTAAGAAAAGCGAAGTAAAGGCTGAGTGAGAGAGTTTAGTTTAATATGTTTATTATGCACCCCATACCCATCCTGTGGGCGGTAGTCAAAAGGTTACAGAGGTACATAATTGGTCCAGGGACTGGACTCCAAAGTTTTGATAGCTGAGCAAGTTACAGAGGTAATGAATTCACAATTTACAAAGGTAATGAACTCCAGGTAGGTCTAGTCACAATCATGACAAGTTACAAAGGTATTTACAGATTACAGAGGTACGTAATGGGTCCAGGGACTGGGCCCCCAAAGTTTTGATGGCTGAACTAGGTACAAGGTAATGAACTCACAAGTTACAAAGGTAATGAATCCTGTAAGAATGGTTACTTACGTTTATACATGGCTACAATCATGAACAAATTATAGTGTAATGAGCAATTCACACTTCCACACCCGGTCACAACTGTAGTGAGTTATTGGTGCAAATATTGATTGTTGAGACACACACACACACACACACACACACATACAAATTCATACACACACACACACACATACAAATTCATACACACACACACACACACACACATAAACACACACACACACACACACACACACACACACATAAACACACACACACACACACACACACACACACACACACACACACACACACACACACACACACACACACACACACACACACACACACAGACCAGATGGGGACACCAACAAGGAATACACCAACAAGTGTTGGACGACATACATACAGATGAGGAGGAGGTGAAGAAACTGCTAAGGGACATCGATACCTCAAAGGCAATGGGACCGGACATCTCCCCGTGGGTCCTTAGAGAGGGAGCAGATATGTTGTGCGTGCCACTTACCACAATCTTCAACACATCCCTGGAAACTGGGCAACTACCTGAGGTATGGAAGACGGCAAATGTAGTTCCCATTTTTAAAAAAGGAGACAGAAAAGAGGCACTAAACTATAGACCTGTGTCATTGACGTGTATTTATTTATTTATTTATTTATTTCCAATTTGAGCATACATACAGAGGTACAAAAAAAATACAGGTAAGAGCAGCATGCCAAAGCCACTTATATGCATAGCATTACGGGCTGGCTTAAAATTAACTTAAGATTAACTAAGCAATGATGAAATCAGTGATAAAACATTAATGTAAACAGATTACTATAAAGCACAAATGAGTATTACAAAGACAGGTCATATGGTTGCATTCATTTAGGTAGTGATTCTGTTAGGTAGTGTATTTAAAAAAATAATAAAGTTAGATTGGGTTTTAGGTTTAACATTTATGTGATATAATTGTGAGAAACATTTAAGATATACAATTTATAAGGTTCAGTTATTCAGTATTTATTTGGTTTTGGGTGAGTAAGTAATCTTTGAGAAGAGACTTGAATTTATAAACAGGTAGTGTTTCTTTTATATTTACAGGTAATGAATTCCAGATTTTAGGGCCTTTTATGTGCATTGAGTTTTTGCATAGTGTGAGATGGACACGAGGAACATCAAAGAGTGATCTGTGCCTTGTGTTATGGTCATGTGTTCTGTTGAGGTTGGCAAGGAGATGTTTGAGGGGAGGGTTAATATCAGAGTTAAGTGTTCTATGTATGTAATAGGTGCAGTAATAAGTATGGATGTTTTGTATGGTGAGTAGGTTTAGTGTATTGAATATTGGTGGAGTGTGCTGCCTGTAGTGAGAATTTATCATTCTAACTGCAGCCTTTTGTTGGGTAATTAGTGGTCTGAGATGGTTAATTGTTGTTGAGCCCCATGCACAAATTCCATAGGTGAGATAGGGGTAAATAAGAGAGTGATATAGGGCCAGGAGGGCTGACTGTGGAACATAGTACCGTATCTTCGATAGTATGCCTACAGTCTTGGAAATTTTCTTAGAAATTTGATGTATATGTGTATGAAATTTGAGTCTATTATCAAGGTGGATTCCTAAGAATTTTCCCTCTGTTAGTTTTGTGATAGGTGATCCATTTATCATTATGTTAAGAGGGACATCTGTAGTATGCAAAATTATGGAGAAGATTATCAGGAGGAGAGTGGTGGAGCACCTGGAACGGAACAGGAGTATAAATGCCAACCAGCACGGATTCACGGAAGGCAAATCCTGTGTCACAAACCTTCTGGAGTTTTATGATAAAATAACAGAAGTAAGACACGAGAGAGAGGGGTGGGTTGATTGCATCTTCTTGGACTGCAAGAAGGCCTTTGACACAGTTCCTCACAAGAGATTAGTGCAGAAGCTAGATCATCAGGCGCATATAACAGGAAGGGCACTGCAATGGATCAGAGAATACCTGACAGGGAGGCAACAACGAGTTATGGTACGTAATGATGTATCACAGTGGGCACCTGTGACGAGCGGGGTCCCACAGGGGTCGGTCCTAGGACCAGTGCTATTTTTGGTATATGTGAACGACATGATGGAAGGGTTAGACTCAGAAGTGTCCCTGTTTGCAGATGATGTGAAGTTAATGAGGAGAATTAAATCTGATGAGGACCAGGCAGGACTTCAAAGAGACCTGGACAGACTGGACACCTGGTCCAGCAAATGGCTTCTCGAATTTAATCCTGCCAAATGCAAAGTCATGAAGATAGGGGAAGGGCACAGAAGACCACAGACAGAGTATAGGCTAGGTGGCAAAGACGGCAAACCTCACTCAAGGAGAAAGATCTTGGGGTGAGTATAACACCGAGCATGTCTCCGGAAGCACACATCAATCAGATAACTGCTGCAGCATATGGGCGCCTGGCAAACCTGAGAACAGCATTCCGATACCTTAGTAAGGAATCATTCAAGACACGTACACCGTGTATGTCAGGCCCATACTGGAGTATGCAGCACCTGTTTGGAACCCGCACTTGATAAAGCACGTCAAGAAACTAGAGAAAGTACAAAGGTTTGCGATAAGGTTAGTTCCAGAGCTAAGGGGAATGTCCTATGAAGAAAGATTAAGGGAAATCGGCCTGACGACACTGGAGGACAGGAGGGTCAGGGGAGACATGATAACGACATATAAAATACTGCGTGGAATAGACAAGGTGGACAAAGACAGGATGTTCCAGGGAGGGGACACAGAAACAAGAGGCCACAATTGGAAGTTGAAGACACAAATGAGTCAGAGAGATATTAGGAAGTATTTCTTCAGTCATAGAGTTGTAAGGCAGTGGAATAGCCTAGAAAATGACGTAGTGGAGGCAGGAACCATACACAGTTTTAAGACGAGGTTTGATAAAGCTCATGGAGCGGGAAGAGAGAGGGCCCAGTAGCAACCAGTAAAGAGGCGGGGCCAGGAGCTAGGACTCGACCCCTGTAACCACAAATAGGTGAGTACAAATAGGTGAGTACACATACACAAACTCATACACACGCACACACTCATACACACACACACACACACACACACACTCATACACACACACACACTCATACACACACAGTGAGAGAGAGAATAAGTTTGAGTAAATAAAGTTAAGTTTGTGTTCTGTACTTCTACATTGATGAGTCAGTGTCCATCACATTCATGTAAGTGAAGTAAAATTATTCAAAATTAAATATATTTTATTAATCAGGGAAAAGCACTAAAGATGTAGGGACTACATAGAATCTGAGGAATTGGAGTCATTAGGTTTGATTCAAGGAAAAGAAATATAAATCCAGTTCCTTGGAACAAGAGCTGCTCACCATCACGAAGGCACCTTTATTAAAGGAGATTTCATGTATTACTTTCTACATAATGTATGTTGTCAAGTACTGGAGTATTACCTGGTACTGTGGATATACACGAGAGCCAGTTAGCACACAAACACAAGTTCGTGTGATAACTGCTTCTTCACCAATATATTATGCTTCTTCTTTCAACAAACTGGCCACATCCCACCAAGGCAGGGTGCCCCAAAAAGAAAAACAAAAGTTTCTCTTTTAAACTGAAGTAATGTATAGAAGGGGTTACTAGCCCCTTGCTCCCGGCATTTTAGTCACCTTTTGCGACACGCATGGTTTACGGAGGAAGAATTCTGTTCCACTTCCCCATGGAGATAAGAGAAAATAAACAAGAACAAGAACTAGTAAGAAAATATAAGAAAACCCAGAGAGGTGTGTATATTTTTTTTCAACAAACCGGCCGTATCCCACCAAGGCAGGGTGGCCCAAAAAGAAAAACGAAAGTTTCTCTTTTTAAATTTAGTAATTTATACGGGAGAAGGGGTTACTAGTCCCTTGCTCCCAGCATTTTAGTCGCCTCTTACAACACGCATGGTTTACGGAGGAAGAATTCTGTTCCACTTCCCCATGGAGATAAGAGAAAATAAACAAGAACAAGAACTAGTAAGAAAATATAAGAAAACCCAGAGGGGTGTATATATATTATATATATTATATATATATATATATATATATATATATATATATATATATATATATATATATATATATATATATATATATTTTCAACAAACCGGCCGTATCCCACCAAGGCAGGGTGGCCCAAAAAGAAAAACGAAAGTTTCTCTTTTTAAATTTAGTAATTTATACGGGAGAAGGGGTTACTAGTCCCTTGCTCCCAGCATTTTAGTCGCCTCTTACAACACGCATGGTTTACGGAGGAAGAATTCTGTTCCACTTCCCCATGGAGATAAGAGAAAATAAACAAGAACAAGAACTAGTAAGAAAATATAAGAAAACCCAGAGGGGTGTATATATATATATACATATATATATATATGCTTGTACATGCATGTGTAGTGTGACCCAAGTGTAAGTAGAGGTAGCAAGATGTACTTGAAATCTTGAATGTTTATTAGACAGAAAAAGGGACACCAGCAATCCTACCATCGTGTAAAACAATTACAGACTTTCGTTTTACACTCACTTGGCAGGACGGTAGTACTTCCCTGGGCGGTTGTTGTCTACTAACCTACTACCTAGGATTATTACTATTATTATTACTATATTAAAATAAGCATTAATCTTGCACTCTAAGAAGTGAGAATATTGTAGTTCCAAGGTTCATCAGAACTGGGTTGTCAGCACATCTCTGGCAAAACAGTGATTGAACAAATGATGGTGAATGCATTTCCTCTTTTTGTCATTCTTTGTTAGAGATGGCTAGGGTTAACAAAAAATTCTGTATAGGTCATACTTGCTCAGCAAGGTTAAGAAGCTCTGGGTCTGGCCTATAAAGAATTTAGGAGCCTTGAGCTACAGCCTTGCTGCTGGCTGTACAACAACTCTGTTGATAACAAAAAAATGCACAATACCGTGACTGGAACGATACACAAATAACCCGCACATAGAAGAGAGGAGCTTATGACGACGTTTCGGTCCGACTTGGACCATTTACAAAGTCACACTAACCAGAAGTGTAGCAGTACGGCCTCTGCCTTCCCTACATTTCCAGTCTTTCTAATCTCAGCAATTCTCTCCGTCCCTTAGACATCAAGCTTACTTTCCGCCAGACTAACACTCTTCACACTAATCTCGTTCATACCTCTCCTCCCTCTACAGATGTTCCTGGTGTCTGCTCTATTTCTTGCTCCTCCTGTCCTCTTCAATACTTTGGAGAAACTGGTCGATCTCTTTCTGACAGACTTAGGGAGCACAAAAAGTGTTAGGCTTGCCGACACTAACAATGCTCTGTTCTGTCACGTCAGAGATCACAGCCATCCTATTGACTGGTCTTCTGCTAAAACTGTCTTCCCTACTTCCAACTCGAACAGTCGCCGTCTAGTTGAATCCTCTCTAATACACAACTTTCCTTGTATGAATCTTAGTCCTGGCTTCGTCTCTGTAGATGCTTTCCTCTCCCACTACATTGTAAAATGTTCCAAACTTCAGAACACCCGTGACTTAACCTGATTCCTCATTTTTTCTTCTTCTCCCTCTTCCCCTTTCCTCTTTCCTTTTTTGTCTTCCTTTCTTCTGTTGCGTGTTTATGTTCCTTCATTATTTATTTCATCACTTCCCCTTCCCCCCCACCTCTGTGCACTTGCTCTCCCTCTGTAGGCACCTAGCTCCCTTGCAGTGCTCCCCTTTCTTTGTATTTGACTGACTCCTCCTCCTCCTTAATTCCCTACTACTACTGCTTACTCTAACTACTACTAACTACTACTTACTACTACTTACCACTACTAACTACTACTTACTACTACTTACTACTACTACTTACTACTACTTACTACTACTAACTACTACTACTTACTACTACTACTTACTACTACTACCACCACCACTACCTCTTCCTTCCTATATATAGCCGTCCTGGTACACTTCTGGTTAGTGTGACTGTAAATGGTCCAAGTCGGACCGAAACGTCGTCGTAAGCTCCTCTCTTCTATGTGCGGGTTATTTGTGTAATTCTGTTGATTACCACACTCTCTTACTCAACAGTATTATGTTTATGAGAGGTGCTAAACCTATATGAGTCATACAGTATTTGGGGAATGGGAGGTAATGAGGTGTGATCTGAGGAAGGAAAGGGTACAGTAGTTCCAGTTTGGTGGATAAAGAGCCCTTCACAAGCATCAAAGTACTCACCCAAAAGGGTCACTGACCAACACTCATTGGAATGAGAGAGACTGTGTTTACAGGGGCACCTTTATTATGACATTTTGTCCAGGACTGGAATTTCTCAGGTATATGTTATACTTGACAAAATCTAGTCATGGACAAAATGTCATAAACGTTTCTCTGCAAAAAGTCTTTCTCACTTTTGTCATAATTCATCCACTCTCATCGGAGGCTTCATCTAACAGTAGACTGATATTGCTGGAATGTAATAAAAAAAAGGGTCAGATAAGATGTTAGTTCTCAGGTCTTGTTTAGGTTCAGCGTATATTTTAAACAGCAGTAAGTTCAGTCTCATAATTGAGAGCATTTTGCATGTCATCATTCTGTCAGCGACGGGTGAGTGCCAGTGTGGTCTGGGATGGACCGGGCCAAACTGTGACCAGCCGTGTGAGCCAGGACGCTATGGCCCTCGCTGCAGTCTGGACTGTGCCTGCTATGCCAACACCACCTGTGATCGTTTCTCTGGGTGCTGCGACTGTGGCCCTGGACGCTATGGCCGCTACTGTGAGCTCGGTCAGTTACACAGCTACTAGCTTGTTCAGTGACTTGTATAAGGCTGAAAAACATACTTGTGAATTACTGTACTGTATGTTAATTTCAGCTAAGTAATTATTTGATCTTGATAACTATGTACTTAGCCATGTAGTACCACCTTGAATATATATACAGTGCAATAATGTATTATTGTAAACAAATTGATGAAAAAAGTGGTGTATATTAATTTGCATTTAATTAGTACTTGTAATATATGTACAGCAAGCACTGAAATTAAACAGTGGTGTATGAAATGAGGTTGTTTGTATCCATGTATTACATTATGATAGTGTTGCATTCTATTGAAAAAATGTGAAATTCAGCTGCAGTATACAACTGTCACTTTCTACAAATAAACTACATCACTAAACTGTACTACCACTGACTCACAGAATGCCCACCTTCGCTTTATGGTATGTATTGCACCAGTGTGTGCGAGTGCCATCATGGGGCCACCTGCGACCCTACAACCGGCCAATGTTACTGTGCCCCAGGCTTTACCGGGGAGACCTGCAGCCTTACTTGCCCACCAGGTGAGCCCAACAACTACCTTCTTTGTATTAATCACAGTTTTTTTTATTAATCATAAACTCAACAGAAAGTGATATTACAGTACCAGCATTATCAAAATCAAATTGTCTGTCCAGTTTTCCATTACCTTAAGCCCACACATGGAAAATATAATTATTTTCTGAATATAACATAACATTTAGAAAAAAACATTCTTGCAGGAACATTTGGTGCTGGGTGTGAGGAGAAGTGTCAGTGTGGACCCTATCAGTGCCGCAGGGACACTGGAGAATGCCTCTGTCCACCAGGCTTCAAGGGACCATATTGCACCCAACGTGAGTATCACAAGTAGCATCTAAACACTGTTGCCACATGCTAAGATGGCTTTCAATTGAAGTGTTATATCATTTAATTTTATTCTACATTTAAAAGAGACAGTTAGGGTAAGATATAAGCAACTACAGTGGACCCCCGCATAACGTTGGCATCGCATAGTGTTAAATCCGCATAGCGATACATTTTATCGCTAAAATTTTGCCTCGCATAGTGTTAAAAAATTCACTCAACGCGATTTGTCCGAGACACGTCCATGCGGCCTGAGCCAGCCTCACTTGTTCTGCCAGTGGCATTGTTTACAAGCCAGCCTCCGCGGTAACATTCAAGCATACAGTCGGAACATTTCCTATTATTACAGCCTTTTTATAGTGATTTCACCTGAAAAATAATTGACCATGGGCCCCAAGAAAGCTTCTAGTGCCAACCCTACAGGAATAAGGGTGAGAATTACTATGGAGATGAAGAAAGAGATCATTGCTAAGTATGAAAATGGAGTGCGTGTCTCCGAGCTGGCCAGGTTGTATAGTAAACCCCAATCAACCATCGCTTCTATTGTGTCCAAGAGAACGGGAATCAAGGAAGCTGTTCTTGCCAAAGATTTAACTGTGCTTTCGAAACAGAGATTGCAAGTGATAAAAGATGTTGAGAGACTGTTATTGGTGTGGATAAACGAAAAACAGATAGCAGGCGATAGCATCTCTCAAGCGATCATAAGTGAAAAGGCTAGGAAGTTGCACGAGGATTTAATTAAAAAAAATGCCTGCAACTAGTGGTGATGCGAGTGAATTTAAGGCCAGCAAAGGTTGGTTTGAGAGATTTAAGAGGCGTAGTGGCATACATAGTGTGATAAGGCATGGTGAGGCTGCCAGTTCGGAGAGAGAAATTGAAGAAGTTGCCTACTTCAAAGATTAAGGAAATCTGTGCAAAGTGGCTTGAAGTGCAAACCTTCATGGATGAAAATCACCCTCAGACAGCTATTGCAAGCTGTGCTGGTGACTATTATACTGACACTGTTGTGAAACACTTTAGGAAAGTCATAAAGGAACGAGAGGTACAGGCCACTATGGACAGATATGTTGTGCGACAGAAGTCCAGTGACTCTGAAGCTGGTCCTAGTGGCATTAAAAGAAGAAGGGAAGCAACCCCGGAAAAGGACTTGACACCTCAAGTCCTAATGGAAGGGGATTCCCCTTCTAAACACTAAAACCATCCAGTCTCCCCTCCTCCCATCCCATTAATCATCACCACATCTTCAATAAAGGTAAGTGTCATGTAACTGTGCATGTTTTCTTAAGTTTGTGTGTATTAAAATTAATATTTCATGTGGTAAATTTTTTTTTTTCATGCTTTTGGGTGTCTTGCACGGATTAATTTGATTTCCATTATTTCTTATGGGGAAAATTAATTTGCATAACGATAATTTCGCATAACATTGAGCTCTCAGGAATGGATTAATAGCGTTATGCGGGGGTCCACTGTACTAGGAATATAGGTAATGAGGAGGGGATTGAAGAGTTTCTTTTTTTTTTTTTTTTTTCAACAAGTCGGCCGTCTCCCACCGAGGCAGGGTGACCCAAAAAAAGAAAGAAAATCCCCAAAAAGAAAATACTTTCATCATCATTCAACACTTTCACCACACTCACACATTATCACTGTTTTTTGCAGAGGTGCTCAGAATACAACAGTTTAGAAGCATATACGTACATGTATAAAGATACACAACATATCCCTCCAAGGTATGGAGTATATTAAAGAATGCAATGTTCTTATGTTCTTAGTGTGTGCAACAGAAGTTTGTGAATACATATAGAAGGGTGGCTGTGGGAGAGAAGAGGAGAAGAGAGGAGAGATTAGAGGACTGAGATTAAAGTGGTAAGATAAGATAAGATAAGATTTCGTTCGGATTTTTAACCCTGGAGGGTTAGCCACCCAGGATAACCCAAGAAAGTCAGTGCGTCATCGAGGACTGTCTAACTTATTTCCATTGGGGTCCTTAATCTTGTCCCCCAGGATGCGACCCACACCAGTCGACTAACACCCAGGTACCTATATGCTGCTAGGTGAACAGGACAACAGGTGTAAGGAAACGTGTCGAAATGTTTCCACCCGCCGGGAATCGAACCCGGGCCCTCCGTGTGTGAAGCGGGAGCTTTAGCCATGGCAGAAAAAATTGGCATACAAAAGGGTTTTGCAGTGTGAGCAGAATAACATTTACAAAGGGATTCAAGGAAACTTGTTAGCCAGACTAGAGTCCTGGAGGTGGGAAGTACAGTGCCTGCACTCTGAAAGAGGGGTAGGAATATTGCAGTTCAGAAGGTTATCTCAGCTGTGATGTCAGCACACTTCTGGAAAGACAGTGATTGCATGAATGCCATGAGTGTTTTTTTTGGGTCACTCTACCCTGATGGGAAAAAGCTGGTATGTTAACAAAAATATTTTCCCTGCCTTTAGTGCTTCATGTTTGATACATATTGCATTTCTCATTGTGGTATGTTGCCATTACAAAGTTCCTCTGCATTGTGATATATCTCTTCTGGAAAAATAGTTAGGGAATAATTATCATTTTCATAAAAGAGTGGTAAACCTGTATGTGTAATGTTTCAGTTATTATTTTTTTAACACATCGGTCATTTCCCACCAAGGCAGGGTGGCCCAAAAAAGATAAACTTTCACCATCATTCACTCCATCACTGTCTTGCCAGAGGTGCGCTTACACTACAATTATAAAACTGCAACATTAACATCCTTCCTTCAGAGTGCAGGACTTAAGTCCGGCCTGCCAGTTTCCCTGAATCCCTTCACAAATGTTACCCTGCTCACATTCCAACAGCACGTCAAGTCCTAAAAACCATTTGTTTCCATTCACTCCCATCTAACACGCTCACGCATGCTTGCTGGAAGTCCAAGCCCCTCTCACACAAAACATCTTTTACCCCTTCCCTCCAATCTTTCCTAGGCCGACCTTTACCCCGCTTTCCCTCCACTACAGATTTATACACTCTCAAGGTCATTCTATTTTGTTCCATCCTCTCTACATGTCCAAACTACCTCATCAACCCCTCCTCAGCCCTCTGGATAATAGTTTTGGTAATCCCGCACCTCCTCCTAATTTCCAAATTATGAATTCTCTGCATTATATTCACACCACATATTGCCCTCAGACACGACATCTCCACTGCCTCCAGCTTTCTTGTTGCAACATTCATCACCCCATATAAGAGTGTTGATATAACTATACTCTCTTACTGTTGCGAATAAGAAATTTTATAAAGAACTTCAGAAAGTGGTCTGTTACTATTTTCTTCATAGGCAACAAGATTTGGGATCAGAGTTAAAGGTATTTTAGAGTCTAGGGGAAATAATTTCAACTGGGAAACTCCATAGAATAATATTCAAATTTATTAAAGTATTTAAATACAATACTTTATCTTTTCTCTGTACCTAATATTATCTTAATACTTTGTACAATAAATTTACTATATACATATTTAGTTCAAAATCATGGAAATATCACATTAATAAGGAAGATTAATTATTCTTCCTGTAATTAAGTCTTCACTAACATTTACGTCTTTGTCTTAACAAAACTGTGTAAACTCAAACTACAAAATGTACAAGATTCAACAAGACCTTTGAATCCGGCCGTAAAGGAAGTAGAAAGCAAGAGTTTGTCTGAGAAGAAGTATCTCTATGGATTACTGAACTGACCAAGAATATAAATATCAAAAGAATCTTTCAGAGCAATGAGGAACAAACTGAGTCAGCTATAGAGTCTAATTCTCAAATCCATTCAAACTGTACACCCTAAGAGAGAGCCAATATACGATCAGCTGTCAAGGCTAGAACAGGGAGCGGACTGACTACCTGCCAGTCTGTTGACCCGTCGTCAGGTTGGATCACCTGACCCAAACGTCAGTCAGCCGGATATAAACAATTAAACAATTCACCGGATGGTTCCGAGATTTATGCTCTATATACACAAGAAATCCTACCTAACAATAATAATAATAATAATATTAATAAAATAGGGACAATACCATGGTATTTTTTATATTTTAAACAGATAATAATATAATGCCGAAAGTCTCTATTCTAGCTATAAATGGGGACTTTCGCGCTATAATATTAAGTGATGATCATATTCTCTTACAATAGATAAATAACACAGGATGACCAATTTCCAAGATATAACACTTACATTCCCCTCTTTGTTTCTATGGACAAAGTTCTTTCTCTTCACAGACTCCTCAGTGCACCGCTCACCTTTTACCCATGATCAATTCTATGATTCACCTTATCTTTTATAGATCCATCTGCTGACACGTCCACTCTTAAATGTCTGAATACATTCCCCTCCTCCATACTCTCCCTCTAACCTAATATCCAATCTTTCATTACCTAATTTTTTGATGAGAAATTAGACACATGTGCAACTCTTGGGTATTTTTACTAAGGAAACATTTTGCTACACAGTGGCTTCATCAGTCCATACACAGGAGAAACTTGAGGAACAGGAGGAGAATGAGGTAATCAGTCCCTCAACCTTGAGTCGATGTGGTCAGTCCATCAATCTTAAATAGAATACGGCATATGAGCTGAGAAGCAGCTTATAAACCGTAGGCAGGGGAGGTGCAGCAGTCGTAGGTGGTGTCACATTTGCCCAATGTGGAAGTAGGTCGTGCCCAATGGCTAGGCAAGCGAACAATTCCCAAGTATTAGGATCCCAAGAAGTTGCAGTGTCTGACAGGATTGTAGATGAATGGTTCACAGAACCGACATGTTGATAAATTAGACACATGTGCAACTCTTGGATATCTTTATTAAGGAAACGTTTGCCACACAGTGGCTTCATCAGTGACTCAAGGTTGAGGGACTGATTACCTCATTCTCCTCCTGTTCTTCAAGTTTCTCCTGTGTATGGACTGATGTAGCCACTGTGTGGCAAAACATTTCCTTAATAAAGATACCCAAGAGTTGCACATGTGTCTAATTTATCAACATGTCGGTTCTGTGAACCATTCATCTACAACCTAATTTTTTGTTATCCTTATCACCTTACTCTTTCCTATATTCACTTTCAATTTTCTTCTTTTACATACCTTACCGAACTCATCCACCAACCTCTGCAACTTCTCTTCAGAATCTCCCAAAAGCAAAGAGCAACTGTGACAACTCCCACTTTGTGTCAGATTCTTCATCTTTTAACCCCAAACCTCTTGCCAACACCCGAGCATTCACTTCTCTTACATCCCCATCTATAAATATATTGAACAACCATGGTGACATCGCACATCCTTGTCTATGGCTTACTTTTAATGGGTAATAATCCCCCTCTCTCCTACCTACTCTAACCTGAGCCTCACTATCCTCATAAAAGCTGTTCACTGCTTTCAATAACCTACCTCCTATTCCATACATTTGCAACATGTGCCACATTGACCCCCTGTCCACCCTGTACAGTTATTCAGGCTAAAACATTGTGTAGTTTTAAAAATAGGTTAGATAAATACATGAGTGGGTGTGGGTGGGTGTGAGTTGGACCTGACTAGCTTGTGCTGCTGGGTCTCGTGCAGTGCTCCATCCTTGAGTGGAGGTGACCAGACTGGGTGGGTCATTGGGCTAATGGGGGGGGGGGGAGACATGGACCTGCTCTGCATGGGTCAGTAGGCCTGTTGCAGTGTTCCTATTTTCTTATGTTCTTATGTCATACTCCTTTTGCAAATCCATAAATGTCACAAAAACCTCTTTACCCTTATCAAAATACTGTTCACCTATATGTTTCAATAACAACTCTACCATACACTTTACCAGCTATACTCAAGAGACTTATTTCTTTGTAGTTGTTGCACTCTCTTTTGTCCCCTTTGCCTTTATACAAAGGAACTATGCATGCTCTCCACCAATCCCTAGTTACCTTACCCTCTTCCATACATTTATTATTATTATTTGCAAAAGAGTGGTAAACCCACATGGATCATGTAGCTCTAGTGATAAGGAATAAGAAATAATGAATGTGTTATTGTTCTCGGGTTACCCTGCCTTAGCGAGAAAAAGCCAGCGTTTAAAAATTTTAACTTGCCATTTAATGATGCAGCATGTGGTGCTGGACGATATGGCCCTGGGTGTCAGCAAGTTTGTGAATGTTACAATGGTGCCACGTGTGATCTTGCTACAGGCCAGTGTTCCTGCTCCCCTGGTTGGCTTGGTCCCAAGTGTCAAGAAAGAGATGGTGAGTAATATCAACATGCTATGATGTATCACTCTGAATCTTTATGAAAAAATTTGTTCTCTATATAAAATGATAATACTTTGCTTAAAATTTGGTAAAACTTCCTGTCATTTGTTTCAGTGACAGCTGATATCCACCCAGACCACCAAGACCGAGCTGACATCCCTGTGCATGAAAGCTGAGAACCCTTTACTAGATTTCAGGCATTCCTATGGAGGGCAGACAATTGCCCCATTATTGAAAACAGACATTTATGTGAAGGACTGCTAATTGTCTTTTAATGACCAGGTGACATCCCTGTCAAGGACAAATGAGCTTCCCTTATCAAAGAGTTGTGAACCTTTCTCTCAAGGATAGCTACTAGTTTCCTTGAAGGGTAGCTGACTGACCCTTATAAAAACAGCTAAATAACCCTTGATGGGCAGTTGAATGCTTATTGAAACAGAAAAATGCTTCATTAAAAATAATACAACATCTTCAAATATGTAAAGTTCCTAATTAGAGTGAAGCATTTATTGGAGGACAACTACTCTTTGCAAAACTGTGTTTCTAGGGTAGATGAAAAACTAAATTGATGTTTTAGTGCAGATTCCTCATAAGTGCACTGATAAGTGTCTAGACTCAAGTGATGCTGAATGTGAATGATAACTGTTCTTTCATAAAAACAAAATGTGATTCAGTGTCACTGACTTTTATGAGAGAGACATAGTAAATATTGATCACTGTTTCACAGTCCAGCTTCAGTATGGACTACACAAATTGTGTTAATACATAAAATACTGTACACAGTTTACACACACAACTAAAGCTGTGTTCAAAGTGATTTACAATGACTGCACATCAAGTTTACCTGAATGAAGGTGGTGTGTTAAGTGTAGTAGTTGTGTGTTGTACACCCACTGCCTGCCTGCTAATGGCCTTAATATACTTACACAAGTGTAGATATATGTAGTACTGTACTAAATTAGTTTAGGAATGTCAGTGTAGTACTACAAAGCCTCTTGTTCCAGTTCTCCATTAAGTAGAGCACATGCAATCTAACCACTTCATTAAAAAAAAAAAAAGATTACCAGTATTTTTATAATACTGTATATGAAAAACTTCAGTTGAAGTGCCTCATCAGCCTGAGTGCGTGTTTTTATATATCACTGCCACATAATATTTTTCCTCTGGACATGGTTAACATTTAGTAAGAAAAACAAGAATTTTTTAGTACAAAGAGTACAAATGGACCATTTAATTAAATATTCATCATTTATTTTGCAAATACTGATAAAAATAATTAATAATTATCAATGCTGTGTGAATTTGTCTGTAGCAAGGAAATGTTGTGCTACTGAATACTTCAGAAAAGAAAATATCTCCACTGTGACTGTTTTCAACATACGGGTGAAACAATGGCAAGTGACAGTGTATTTTGCTATAGTAACTACTCAGAATAAGTAGTATTTACGCAAGACTAGAAGCCTTTCACTGTTACTGGGCGACCCCAGTGGGTTTAGCACTTGGATCTGATTACAACAATAATAATCACTGTTACTGGACCTAAATGATTGGCACAGGCTAGACCCCCCCAGAAATAAGCACAGACTGGACCCCAATAATATGCACAGACTAGACCCCAATAATTACCACAGGCTAGACCCACAATAATTACTATAGACTAGACCCCAATATTTACCACAGAGTAGACCCAAGTAATTACTAGAGACTAGACCCCAATAATAAGCACAGACTACACCACAATATTTAGCACAGACTAGACCACAATAATTAGCACAGACTAGACCACAATGATTTGCTGCAGGCTGACACTAGGATCGTTCTTTGTATCTCTCTCCTTCTCGGGCATTATCTATCCCAGATATTGCCTTTCTTGTTTCGTCATTACCGCCACCACTTCTGTTACTTGGCGATTTTAATGCCCATCATTTCCTCTGGGGGGTCTCACTGTGATTCCCGTGGCATTCAGTTAGAGGCTTTTCTTGCTACCCACCCCCTCCATGTTTTAAATACAGGTACTCACACCCATTTTGATCCTCGGACTCATACTCTCTCTTGCATTGATCTCTCAGTCTGCTCTTCCTCCGCCGCATTAGACTTCACCTGGTCTGTTCTCCCGGATTTACATGACAGCGATCATTTCCCAATCATTCTTACTTCCCCTTCATATTCACCACCTCTTCGTATCCCACGCTGGCAATTTGATCAGGCAAATTGGAACCTTTACTCACAACTGTTTCTAGTGAGGTTCCTTCGTCCTCCATTGATGAGCTTTTACACCTCTTCTCATCCTCCGTTTTAACCGCAGCTTCTCATTATATACCCCAAACTTCGGGCAGGCATTCTCAGAAATGCGTGCCTTGGTGGTCTCCTGCTTGTGCTCGTGCAGTAAGTTTGAAACGCCCTGCGTGGGGCAGGTACCAGTACAATAGAACCACAGAGAGACTTCTTGATTTTAAGCAGAAGCGTGCGATCGCTCGCCGTGTCATCCATGACGCTAAACATACTTGCTCGCGAGATTGTCTCCACCATCACCTCTGCTTCCTCTATGAGTGCAGTCTGGAAAAAATTGGTCCGTATTTCTCAGGGGCTCCATCTATGCCCCTCGTTTCTTTCCTCAAAGTCTGCCAGAGAGTTAGCACCCTTGGACTTTTCTTCTCTCAGAGAAGAACAGTATTATGTGCCTTTTACACTTCAGGAACTGGAGGCAACACTCTCGGCTTGCCGATCATTCGGCAGCTGGGCCCGATGACATTCATATTCGTATGCTACAACATTACATCAGTCAGCCCTTGCAGTCCTATTATGCCTTTTCAATCTTATTTGGTCACAGGGAGCTCTTCCACAGCTGTGGAAATCTGCCATTGTTCTCCCTTTCTGCAAACCGGGTACTACGGGACATGAAGCCTCCCACTATCATCCCAGTGCTCTTACCAGTGCAGTTTGCAAAGTGGTGGACCGTCTGGTAAATAGACGTTTAGTGTGGTATTTAGAGACACACAACAGTCTCTCCACTCGTCAATATGGCTTTCGTAAGGGCCGTTCTACCATAGACCCCTTACTACGCTTGGATACGTATGTTCGTAATGCCTTTGCGAATAACCACTCAGTTATTGCCATATTTTTTGACCTTGAGAAGGCATATGACATAACTTGGAGGTATAATATTTTGGCCCAAGCCCACTCCTTAGGCCTTCGAGGCAATCTACCATCCTTCCTTAAGAACTTTTTAACTGACAGACATTTCCGTGTTCGGGTTAATAATGTGCTCTCCCCGGACTTTATCCAAGCTGAAGGTGTCCCCCAGGGATGTGTTCTAAACACAACACTTTTTCTCCTTGCTATAAATGATTTGGCCTCTAGTCTTCCATCCAATATTTGGTTATCACTCTGTTCATGACTTCGCTATTGCATGTGCAGGCGCTGACTGTCACCTCATTACAGTTTCTCTCCAACATGCAGTCGACCGTGTTTCCAATTGGGCCACCACACATGGGTTTAAATTTTCCAGTACCAAAACTCACCAAATTACTTTCACTAGATGCTCTGTCATCTCCGATCATCCTTTGTACCTCTATGGCTCCCATATCCCTGACCGTGATACAGTCAGGTTTCTAGGCCTCCTCTTTGACCGTAGGTTATCCTGGAAACCTCACATTACCTCTCTGAAGGCAACTTGTCACAGCCGGCTGAACCTTCTTAAAACCCTTGCTCATCTTTCATGGGGAGCCGATAGTCACACTCTCCTTTGCCTACATTCCGCCCTCATTTTATCGAAACTTGATTATCGTGACCAGATCTATTTAGCGGCCTCTCCTGCTACTCTCTCTAGCCTTAACCCCATTCATCACCAAGGATTACGTTTATGCCTTGGTGCTTTTCACTCTTCCCCTGTTGAGAGCCTCTATACAGAAGCGAACGTTCCATCCTTATCCGATCGCCGTGATGCCCATTGCCTTTGCTACTATGTACGCTCTCATGATCTCCGCAATCCTTCCATTTATAGAATGGTCACCGATATTAGTAGACATTCTTCATTTGTTTGCCGCCCCTGTTTGCTCTGTCCCTTCTCCCTTCGCCTACATTCGCTCTTGTCTTCTCTTCAATTACCACCTTTCTATGTACATGTAGCATCTCACTTTTCCCTACCCCCCTGGGAAGTTCCAGCTGTTCGAGTCTGTTCTTTCTCACTCCCTTGTTCGAAAGCCCAACTGTCTACGGTAGCCTCCCGCTCTCTTTTTCTTGACCACTTCCACTCTCATTCTCGTGCCATTGCAGTGTACACAGATGGCTCTAAGTCTTCTGACAGCGTAGGATTCGCAGCAGTGTTTCCGGACAGCATCGTACAAGGGCATTTACTATCTTCGGCTAGTATCTTTACTGCTGAATTGTATGCCATTCTTGCAGCACTTATCTGTATTGCATCTATGCCTGTGTCATCATTTGTGGTTGTCTCAGACTCCCTTAGTGCTTTACAGGCTATACAGAAATTTGATACACCTCACCCCTTAGTCCTCCGTATCCAACTTTGGCTACGCCGCATCTCTTCCAAGCATAAAGATATTGTTTTTGTTGGGTCCCTGGTCATGTTGACGCACAGGGCATCGAACAGGCAGACACTGCTGCGCAGTCAGCAGTACATGACCTACCAGTTTCATATAGAGGTGTTCCATTTATGGACTATTTTGCAGCAATAGCTACCCACCTTCACACCCGTTGGCAACAACATTAGTCTACTCTGCTCGGTAACAAACTTATATCTATTAAACAGAGTATAGGTTACTGACCATCTTCTTGTCACCAGTGTCGAGGTTGGGAGACTACTCTCTCCTGCCTTCGCATTGGCCATACTCGTCTTACTCATGGTTATCTCATGGAGAGGCGCCCTGCTCCTCTCTGTGAGAACTGTCAGGTTCCATTATCAGTTCGCCACATTCTATTAGACTGCCCACTTTATCAACGAGCACGCAGAATATACCTCCAACATCGTCTTTGCTCCGCTGCTCTCTCTTTACCTTTCCTTCTCGCTGATGGACCCACCTTTCATCCGGACTTTCTCATTGACTTTTTGACAACAACTGAACTTACTTCACAAATTCTGATACCTTCAGCCCTTTCTACCTCAATCTCTTGCTGCCCTCTACCCCCGCACTCTCCCCTGCCCCGCTGTTTTCTGTAACCTACTGATCATCCCTCCCCCCTTCTGCCGCCCAATACCCTCGCTTCCTTCCCTACCCTGCAGCGCAGTATAGCCCTTGTTGCTTAGCGCTTCTTTTTGATTACAAATAATAATGACACTAGGATCAGAGTGCTCACAATATGGGTTCAGATCACACATGATCATGATTCTGTAAATGCTGTAACTGCTGTGTCAAACTGTTCTGTTTCTCTTAATTACAAGATACAGCAAGATACAAGCAGTCACTGTTGTCCACATTTATAAAAATAATTATTCCTAATGGAATTTTGAAATCTGAAGCTGCAGTAGGTTAGTGCTGAAGTTACAGTACCAGTAGGATAGTGCTGAAGTTACAGTACCAGTAGGATAGTGCTGAAGTTACAGTACCAGTAGGATAGTGCTAAAGTTACAGTACCAGTAGGATAGTGCTGAAGTTACAGTACCAGTAGGATAGTGCTGAAGTTACAGTACCAGTAGGATAGTGCTAAAGTTACAGTACCAGTAGGATAGTGCTGAAGTTACAGTACCAGTAGGATAGTGCTAAAGTTACAGTACCAGTAGGATAGTGCTGAAGTTACGATCAGATAGTGATGAAACTACAGTACCAGTAGGATAGTGATGAAGCTACTATAGGATAGTGCTTAAGCTATAGTAAGATAGTGCTGAAGTTACAGTACCAGTAGGATACTAATGAAGTTAAAATAAGATAGTGATGAAGCTACAGTACCAGTAGGATAGTGATGGAGCTACATTACCAGTAGGATAGTGATGAAGCTACACTAGGATAGTGCTGAAGGTACAATATGATAGTGTTGAAGATACAGGACCAGTAGGATAGTGCTGAAGCTACATTAGAATAGTGCTGACAAGGCTAGAAAAATATAGGAAATTTTAACACCTGGCAGATTTTAAAATAAAAAACAAAAGGAACATACAGTGGACTCTCGAGTTTCGTAAGCCTCGCGCTTCGTAAATTTCAAGAATCAGTGTCACCAAGAGTAAACTGTGTGATGTGGAAGGCTAACAGTTAGGCATGGGTCACAAGGAAAATTTTCCTTGATTGGTTCACTGAAGTGTTTGGCCCAAGTGTAAAGAAATACCTCCTACAAAATAAATTGCCACTCAACTGCCTCCTGGTAATGAACAATGCTCCTGCTCAGCCTCAAAACTTGGATGACCAAATGGTGGAGGAGTTTAGTTTCATCACAGTGAAGTTCTTGCCCCCTAATACCACTCCTCTCATCCAGCCCATGACTCAGCAGATCATTTCAAACTTCCAAAAACATCTACACCAAAAAAAAGCGTCAAAGATGCTTTGACGTGACCTCAGACACTCAAATGATCCTAAGAGAGTTCTGGAAAGATCACTTCAATATCCTCTACTGCATAAGCCTTATAGATAAGGTTTGGCAGGGAGTGACTTTCAGGACTTTGAACTCTGCTTGGAGAAAATTGTGGCCAGATTGTGTCCTCGACAAAGATTTTGAAGGGTTTGAGGCTGACCCAGACAACCCTATGCCAGTTGTGGAATCCATTGTGGCACTGGGAAATTCCATAGGGTTGGATGTGACTTGCCAGGATGTGGAAGAGTTGGTGGAAGACCACAGTGAAGAGCTAACCACTGAAGAGGTGCAAGACCATCTGCAACAGCAACAGACCACAGCTCAGGAAATTGCTTCAGAGGAGGAGGGAGAGATGGAAGAAAGTGCCTTCTTCAAAGTGGAGTGAGGTACAAACATTTGTGGAACAACATTGCCCTGACAAAGCTGTTGCAAGCCATGTCAGCAACATGTACAATGACAATGTCTTGTCCCATTTTAAGCAAACTTTAAAGAGAGGCCAGAAACAGAGCACTCTGGAACAATTTTTGGAGCGACATGGATTCAGTGACTCTCAAGCTGGTCCTAGTGGCATTAAAAAATGAAGAAGGGAAGTATCCCTGGATAAGGACTGGGTACCTAAAGTCTTTATGGAAGGGGATTCCCCTTCCAAACAATAGTGTAACTTCTCCATCCTCTCCCCTCCTCCTGTCTTCCATACACCAACAAGAGTCTTCAATAAAGGTAAGTGTGATATTATTATTGCTTTATACTTGATGTCTCATTGTTTTCTGTATGTAAATCTATATTTAATGTAAAAAAATATCTTTTGTTAATACTTTTGGGTGTGTGGAACGGATTAATTGGATTAACATTATTTCTTATGGGGAAAATGGTTTCGCCATTCATATATATCGCCTTTAGTCAGATTCTCTGGAATGGATTAATTACGAAATTTAAGGGTCCACTGTAAATTAACCCTTAAACTGTCCAAACGTTGATCTACGTTTTTTCAACATTTGAAAGTATGTAAAAAAATGTAATCTTCTTTTTGTTTTTTAACATTTGAAAACGTGTAAAAAAAAACTGTGATGTACGTTTTTTTGTTTGCAAATATGTAAAAAAACGTAGATCTACTTTTGGAGCACTACGCATGTGAACATAGATCTGTTTGGACAGTTTAAGGGCTAAAAATTCACTACTGAACCTACTGGTTCCAGTAATAAAAAAAAATACATAATCACTTTTAAATTCATATTAATAACAGGAACTAAATCTCACCAGTCGCTATAAAAAATGTACAAGCAAATCCTGATTTTTTGTATATTTAAAACTAAACTACTGTACATACTAGTATTTATAAGCAAGTTTCTAAACGTAACCATCATGTAATAATATTTTGTGGGAAATATCTTTCATCTGTCACTAGAGTTGACTCCACATTGCTACCACATCTTCCTAATTATTTTTATACATGTGGAAATACTTCAGCTGTAAGAGTCATACAGCACCTACAGAATGGAAGATAATTAAATCTGATCCAAGAAAAGGAAGGTAATATCTCATTCCTTGGGTCAAGATTCTTTCAGCATGAGCTTACTGCACTGCTCTGAATGACCCACACAGACTTAGCATTTTCCAGGAATACAATAACATTCATCATACAGTGCATGAGAAATGTATGACCCATATGGGATTTAGCACTTCTAGTGATTACATTTTGACCAATGTGAGCACAGAACACATTTCATTATTTCATAAATTTTCAAAGCCTTTCATGTGTACTATATGAAGTACAGTGGCCAACAGGTAATGTTAACAGTGTAGAACAAGTTGAACTTAAAATTTCCATGCCCATATAGCTTGTTCTGTACATATATTATGTCTAGCCAGGGTACTATTAAGTGATATGGTGGAAATATCTGCAGAGCAGTATTTTTTTTTTTTTTTTTCAACAAGTTGGCTGTCTCCCACCGAGGCAGGGTGACCCAAAAAAGAAAGAAAATCCCCAAAAAGAAAATACTTTCATCATCATTCAACACTTTCACCACACTCACACATTATCACTGTTTTTGCAGAGGTGCTCAGAATACAACAGCTTAGAAGCATATACGTATAAAGATACACAACATATCCCTCCAAACTGCCAGTATATCACTATTATTAACAAGAAAACCTATACACTACAGAATCTCAAACTCTTAAAATTATTGAACACCAATTTATCACTGGGATGGTCTCTACTTTTAACTTGTAAGGTCCAAGGGAAATCATAAGACGTACAGAGATGTCTGAAAATATATTTTAAAAGGCTTAACTTATAATGTGCCAATTTGTTTGTACAGTATAGTATACAGTATACAGTATAGGTGTATAGTTTGTAGAATATTTATTTACAAATTAATAAGATATTTTACGCATCTAAATAAAGGGTATGTAATTATATATATGTATATATATATATAATTCATGTGCATTGTCACTGATTAAATTGACAGTTTTTTACAAATTTAAGAATTTAATATAATTAAAAAAAGACCTGCATATCATGGGCCAGTAGGCCTACTGCAGTGCTTGTTTTTCATGTTCTGTACAGTACAGTATAAAATATTGTATTGTACTTTTTTCACAAAAATACATTTTCTCTGCAGTAATTATGCAGAACCATGAAATATTTTATGCTTTATATAAATGTGCAACATTGTCACTGTACTGAAATAGATAAATATCTTAAATTTATTAATATCTGTACTGAGCTGTTCAGCTTGTTTTTGTTTCATCCCAAAATAAATAACTTTTATTATATTCATGGGGAAGCACTAAACCCATTCCCATTCCCCAGGCACTAAGTGCCTGGGGAATGGGAAGTAATCAAGTTTAATCCAAGAAGGAATGGCTATCTCCATTTCCTTGGACTAAAATAACTCACAGAATGGGGGGAAGGGGGAAAGATTGAGCCACATCCATTCCATGATTTGTTTGCAATCATGTTGTTATGATTTTGTGAGTCATGATGGTAACTTCAACTAAATTTTTTTTTACTGGCATTGAAGCACCCCACTGAAGGGAAAACTGAGTGTTCCTGCATGCAAGTAAATACAGTGGACCCCCGCTTAACGATCACCTCCCAATGCGACCAATTATGTAAGTGTATTTATGTAAGTGCGTTTGTACGTGTATGTTTGGGGGTCTGAAATGGACTAATCTACTTCACAATATTCCTTATGGGAACAAATTCGGTCAGTACTGGCACCTGAACATACTTCTGGAATGAAAAAATATCGTTAACCGGGGGTCCACTGTAGTTAAGTGAACAACGGTCCATTAACCCCTGAAAGAGTAAAGTACAAAATACATACAATTCTTCAATAAGAAAGCCATTCTTCTAATTCTTACAGTACTATATTTGATGAGAATTTCCTATCGCTTCTTGTTTCCTCTTCGTATAACCGTCCATCCATCCTCCTCATCGTGAAGCTGCTGCTGTTCCAGTTCAGTAAGTTCTCTCAGAGGCTCACTGGTACAACTGTTGTCTGCTGCATTACTTGTGTCATGCAGCTGCATTCCACTTAGATGAGCAGCAACCAACTGTGGTGCATTATCCTGCAGATCGACATAATAATTGTACTGTGTTAAGTGATTATTCAACTGCTGTCCACTCAGGAGAAGCAACCAACACACACATTATCATGCTAGTTAAGACAAAATTATAGTACAGTATGATCTAATTTAATGGAATAGTAGTCAAGAGCAAGGGTGTTATGAATAATAAAAGCTATGAAGATGTGTATACCCATGGTAGCATAAGAGAACTTAATTCTTCCCACCCAGTAATACTAAAGACATTCATTACAGTGCATTCTTATATATAGTTTATGAGCGCTGTATGACCCTTGTAGGTTTAGCAGCACTTCTTTCTGATTATAATAAAATACAGTATGTATATGAATTTTGATTTTTTTTATTAACACACTGGCCATTTCCCACTGAGACGGGGTGACCCAAAAAGGAAGAAACACTTTCATCATCACTCATACCTGTATACCACTATACTCTTGTACAGTACCTTCTTTGCCTCCATGGATAACATTTTTTGTCTCCAAAGATGCCACCCACCTTTTTTCCTTCATCAATTCTATGGTTAATACCCAAATATCTGAAAACATTCACTTCTTCCATACTCCTTCCCTCCAGTGTGATATCTAATTTTTCTTTATCTAAATCATTTGATACCCTCATCACTTTACTCTTATCTATGTTAATTTTCTACTTTTACACACATACATACACTAAATATATGAAGAGCATAAACTTACTTCACTTTCTCCACCTTCTGGCTGTTCTTGTACCCTACACAATGAGAGATCGCACTTTGGCATCAACGATAACTCATCCATCACCTGTGCATCCTTGCCTGCCACACACAGCTGGTAAAGATGACACAGGCAACTCCCAATCTGGAAAGGCATAAAGAAAACTGTAAATCATCATCTTTCAAAAAACTGGCCATATCCCACCAAAGCAGGGTGGCCCAAAAAGAAAAACAAAAGTTTCTTTTTTTAACTTTAGTAATAAGACTACAAATATTTTAAGGTAAGTAATGAGTGTACTGTACATACATGCATTTTATCACTCTAAGGCACTTTATGCATCGTAGTATATTATGTGTGGGTGGGGTGGCCAGGAGGGCTACATACCTACCCACACCTGACTTCTTACAATACATACTAGTACTCACCTTTTGCCCTACATTAAGACTACAAATATTTTGAGGTAAATAATGAGTGTGCTGCGTGTGTATTTTACTTCTTATTGTTTTTAATGCCTAGTTCTATTGCTAACTTAACCCCTTGACTGTCACAACCCCAAATCCTGAGGTGTCTCCTGATGTTGCAAAATCCCCCCCCCCAAAAAAAAAAAAAAAATTATTATGAAATGATAGAAAATCTTTTCCCAATTGTAATGACACCAAAAGAACGAAATTTGATGGAACGCTGACGGAATTACACTCTCGCAAAGTTAGTGACCTTGGCGATATTTACGAATCAGTGATTTCGCCCACTTTGAGCCCTATTTTCTGCTAATTCCACTGTTCCAGTCAACCAAACTCATAACTATTTTTTTAGAACTCCATTTTTTTCTATCGACTGAGTACAAGAAACTGCCCACTTACCGATTTCAACTACCCAATAACGTAGTCAGAAATTTGCAATTTTGCCAATTTCACAAAAATTAAAAAATATGACAATTTCAAAATAGGGTCACGAATGAACAATGCAGACATTCCTTTGCTCTAAAATAAAATTTACTTTGTTCATCAGTCATGTCTCCAGGCCCCTCTGATATTACTCTTGCTTTCTATTTTGAATTTTTATTCAAACAAAAAATAGAAGATTTACTGTTATGCAGACTACTGCAATACTGCAATAATTGTATAAATAATGTCAACCCATTCATGACTGCATATTAGAATGGCTACTTGGACATTTATTGGAAAATGACATCATTTGTTTACTTTTGAACACTGGCAAAAATCAAACATTTCCCCTACTTTGAGCTCCATTTCAAGGTTCTTTTCATAGTAAAACCAATCAAAATCACCTCTATTTCTATAGTATGTTTTCCATTCTATCAAATGAGACCAAGAAAACGAGATTACAATCATAAATACTATACAAAAATAGACCACAAACTCGGCATTTTAATTAAAAAAAAAAACGGTCAGAATTATTTTTTTCTCATTATGCACTGCGTGCTGCAGGATTTTTTTTATATGGTGCACACTGACCACACAGACCCATTCTCTCACATATGAGCCTACCAGCTTTCTCCTGCTTGATTTGAAGCCGCTAGAATTTATGAGTATATATACGTCAAAAACGGTGGCTCGTAAGACGTATATATATGACCAATACAGTCAAAGGGTTAATATATGTTAGTGTAAACTTATATGGCATTTATATGTATTTGTAAGTGGAAAAAAATGGCGTTCTGCTCTCCGGCGATGTCTGCTTTGTGGCGATAGCCTGGAACCTAACCTGCCGTATATGTGGGGCCCTACTGTATATATGTTTGAACATGCATGTGCAGTGTGACCTAAGTGAAAGTAGAAGTAGCAAGACGTACCTGAAATTTGCATGTTTATGAGTCAGAAAAAAATACACCAACAATCCTACCATCGTGTAAAACAATTACTGGCTTTCGTTTTACACTCAGAGGGCAGAAAGGTAGTACCTCCTTGGGCGGTTGCTGTCTACCACCCTACTACCTAGGAAAACTGTAAATAATTTGCTTAATTATTAGATAAAAGAGCAGAACTAATTTAGAATGAATAGAATAAAAACTACTGTTCTATTTTGATAATGACCATACAAAAAATTATTATCTTCACTGTAAAAAAGAATAACTTTGAGGAATATTTTAGGCCAGTTCCAGTGCTCAAATTGAGTCAATTCTAGTTTCACTATAATGCCTTGAGTGTTATTCCTTATTTGCAAGAAACCGACCCATCATAACTATTCTATTTTGTGCCCAGAAGTCAGTACTTTGGCCAATTTTACACTTTCAACAAATTCCAATTTAAAAATAAGTACTAAAGCCATCTTCCCTCTGTTCATAAATCATGTCCCTAGGCCTCTCCTATATAACACTTGCCTTCCAATGTGAATAGATGCATAAAAACTCAATATTTTTCCCTAAACCTCAGCTAATAAATCATAACCATGAATGCTTGGTCAGGGTGCAGCTTTCCCAATAACTGAAGCAGACCTAGTAAAAGCCCATAAAACAGATCATGGGGGTTGGGGGCCCCTTCCCCTTCCCATGGAAAAACTGCTAAAATAAAAAATTTCATTGTCCAGAATTGACAATTTTCATCACTTCCAGCCAGAAACCAACCAAATATTTTCCCATTTTGTTAGTATGTCTTCTGGCCTATTTAGTGGTACCAAGAAACAGGCAATAAAACCATGAAAACTACCCCTAGAAAATGCCCAAAATTCACTCTTTTAACCCAAACACAAAGTCAGAATTTAGCAGTTCCCATTATGCACTGATGGGGCAGGATTTTTCTTTTATGCTGTACACACCTACCATACAGACCCATTCTCTTACGTCTATGCCAAAATTTATGACTTGCAACAAATCTGAGGGTACTATGATTTATATGTACATATATCTAAGTAAGTGACATTGGCCCCAATCATGTAAACTTACATGATAGCAAAAGGGTTAAGATAAGTGTGACATTTCAATTTTCACAAAAAAAAAAAAAAAGTATAAACCAATGATCATGTTACAGTGTAAAATGCAAAACAGGTTTCCATTTTAGCACTCACATGACAGAAGATATCAGGAACACTGTCAGAACAGATGTAGAAGTCTTCAATAGGGAACTGCACAAGTATCTTCTCCAGGTGCCAGATCAACCAGGTTGTGATTGGTATGTGGGTCAGTGGACTACCAGTAGCAACAGCCTGGTTAACCAGATAAGCACCAGACAAGCCTGGCCCAAAGCCAGGCTCTGGGAGTAGAAAAAGAAAAACTCCCAGAATTCATCATCATTAAAGGTGGGGTTATGTTCCGATGAACCCATCATAAGTTGAAAATATCATGTCAAATATAAATATGATAAATAAATAAGTAAATAAATAACTACTGTCACTGAATAAACAAATAAATAAACAAATATCTACTGTAATTAACTAAATACCAGTATTGAATATTAAATAAATGAATACAAGTTTATCCTATCATTACATTCGTACCACTGTAAAGTTAAAATATCTTAAGTTAAACCATCGTAAAGCCATTTGTACCTAACAAGCAGATGCTTTTTCCAAACTGTTAAAAAAGTAATGTTAAAAATCTGACTCACACAGATCAAAGTTTGATGACACTGATATGCCACCAAACACTTGTTTTTTACTGGTACTTTATTTCACTGCACCCTTACCACTGTGCAGGTATCTCTTACCAGTAACTGAAATGTGTTACAGTGGTGAACACATCACGTGAAGCTCACCTCCATGTCTGAATCATCTTCAACAAGAATGTTAAGCTCTTGGTCCATTATTGTTGCCAGATAATCTGCAACATCTTCAGGTTCAAGATCCTCTGTCAACACAAAATGCAGTTTATGAAGCAGTTAGAAAATAATAATTGCTATACTTACTATAATAAAGCAAATTTTGTGGAAACTCTACACTGAATGAAGCCAATAACGAAAAACAAACCCAACCAATTTTCCAGTTTACCACACCGAAGAAACATAAATTCTACTGAATATCAATTTTATTTAAAGTATTTTAAATACAATTGTAGCACTATAAACATGCAGCACATAAAGGCTGTAAAAGAAATGGTTTCAGATGCTTTACTGTACCTTGACCTAAGTTTATGTCGCTGGGGCTAAGTTAATAACTCAAGTTTAATATCACATGTTCATGGTAATATACTGATCAATTACATTTATTGTCATCTTTGAAATGAAAAAAAGTGATTTGAGTAGCTGTATTTTATCAAGGAAGGACTGTTACTGTCTTTAGGACTGTTACTGCTAATTTAGGACTGTTACTGCTGCTTAAGGGCTGTTGCTGTTAATTAAGGATTATTACTGCTAATTAACTGTTACTGCTACATTAGGACTGTTACTATTACTTTGAACCCTTATTAGTAATGATGCGACTGCACATTCCTGTCTAGACTATTTTTATTTGTAAATTCCTGGACTATTACTGAATTCCAATTCCCACTTCTCATATTGTGCACTATATAACAAGATTACAAGAAACAGGTAGTACAGTATATTAGCATACAATATAACCACAGTGAAAATAAGCAATATTCTAAGCACTTTTGTGATGTCTCTCATTATTAAGTAACAGTGATCTCTCTTATTATCAAGAAATAATGAGCTCTCACATTATCAAGGAATAGTAAGTTCTCACATTATCAAGGAATATTCCTTGATAATGCAAGAGCTTGACTCAAGGAATTGGAACTGCTCTCCCCTGCCTTGGATCAAATCAGATTACCTCCTATTCCTAGGAGCTGCATGATCCCTATAGGTTTGGTGTTTCTCCATGAAACACCAAACACAGTATGACTACATGTACCACATACACAGTCTTACCATTCTCACAGAAATATTGTTCAATGATGCCAATCATCCACTCAGCAATTTCAGCACTTTGCTTGCCACCTGCTTGTTGCTGAACAGCAAACTGAAAAAGGGAAATAAAATTAAATCAATTATATATGTTTGGTTCTTGTGATATTGTACTTTTACAGACAGTGATAGTTTAGTGGATGCACCTCTCCTGGTATGGAGGCTTATATCTATTTAAATGAGTAATACTTGAAAGCAGTTCTTGGATGTATCAAGGAGTAAAGGTGAATGTGTATTCTTCCCTGGTGGAAATGGCAATTGCTGAAAAAAAAAATGGGGGCATAGCATGGTCAAATAAAGCCCAGCAGTTCACAAGGGTCCTGGTTCAATAACAAACCTCAAGAATGGCAAAAATCATGATCAGTAAAACGATGATTCAAAAGAAAAAGAGAAAGCTAAGGACAACAACTAAATAGTGTATAGTAGTGTACAGTAAACCCTCAATTTAACAAACAATAATTTAACAGACTTCGGAAATGCTGGACAACATCTGCTGCGTCACTTGATTTACAAACAATAGACACAATCAGTTTGTTAAAGAAGAGTTCATTATGTTAGGAACATGGCACAACAATCTCCTCTCTATCCACTACAAATGATGTTAGCAGACACCTGCTCCCCCATATTAGTCACCTAAATTAAGAATTTACAAAATTTAACTAAAAAATTGTTTACAACATAAACTCATGGGCATGTGAGGAGCTGGGCATGATATAGATCAACATACTTTTTGTGGATTTAACTGGGGTCAACATCTCTGGCTTTTCTGTCAGATTTAAAACTAATAAAAAACTGCATTTGTGCCCCACCAAAGAGATTTTCTAGTTACTCAAATTGGTATCACAGCAAGGGTATGATACTTTACAGAAAGAGAGTGCTTGTGTTATTTGCATGATAGTATTTGAAACATCAGTGGTAGTGATACCTCTCGTGAAATTTATAACATGTATATTACGTTTTGAAGCAGACAGTGAGTTTAAACTACAAAATGTGTGCAAAATGAGCAGAATTATGCTTAGACCCTTCTGGGAAGTGTAACAAAGTGAATGTCACTAATGCTTTTCTTATGGTCTTATGAAAGCAATACATGCTTAACCTGTAACTCAGTGGCAGAGTGCTGCAACTCGGTCACAGAGGCTTGGGTTTGGTTCTCATGCAGGGTGAGAAGTATGTACTGTACTGTACAGTAAGTACTGTACAGTAAGTACTGCAGAGTAAGTATTACACAGTAAGTACTGTACAGTGTGCTAATCATATTCAATGTATCAATACTCGTGGCCTCAGACTATTCAACATCTTATCAGAAGATATTAGAAACACTACTGGGACACGTGTAGAAATCTTCAAGAGGAAACTGGACAAGTATCTTAACCAGATGCCAGATCAACGAGGCTGTGATGGATATGTGGGTCAGCAGGCCACCAACAGCAACAGCCTGGTTGACCAGGCAAACACCAGAGGAGCCTGGCCCATGGTTGGGCTCTGGGAGTAGAACGGCTCTCGGAACTCATCAAAGTGTCTAAGTGCTAACCAAGTGGTGTAGGTTGCTTCCTGGGGGAGGACTGGGTAGTATACCTCAGAGCAAGAGCTCCCAAACTGGATAGGTATACCCCCACCCTGGGGTACACTAAGGAATTTTCAGGGGGTATGCAATTAAGTGATCATAAGTTTTGTTACTGTCATTACTTTTCTTAATTTATTTTCAGTATTTTGTAATGAAGTTAAATATCAGCACTGGAGATTTCATGCCAATCAGAAGAGGCATTTGGAAGTCATCATATTGAAATTAATGTCCCAATTACTTTAATAAAAATGGAAATTTGTGACATACACACTAAGTAGGTACCTGGGTGTTAGTCGAATGCTGTGGGTCGCATCCTGGGGGACAAGACAGAATGACCACAAGGGCAACAAGAAAGACAGTCCTCATTGATGCAATTTCTTATCCTGGGTGGCTAACCCTCCCTCGAGTTAAAAATCCCAACAAATCTATTATAGCCCAAATCTGATTCAAACCTTCCATTAAAAAACACCATCAATGTGACTCATGAAATCGTAATGACACAATTGCAAACAAACCATACCAAGGGCGGGGATAGAACCCGCGACGATCTGGGGTTTCGAGACTCTCTGATCGCAGGTTCTATCCCTGCCCGTGGTATGGTTTTTTTCATCATCAATATCCTGATGTTAGAAATGTCTGTCCTCATTAAATTTAAAAATGCCCTAAAATTAGTTTTTTTCTGTTTTTTTTTATTTATATTTTATCTCAGATTCTATACAATCCTGCAAGAAAAAAATTTTTATTTCTACGTTTTTAAGAAAGCCACCTTGATAATAATTAAAAAAAAATAGCAAATTGACATTTATTGTTTGAAACCAATCAGAAGAACCATTCTCTAGTTATTACATGGGGAAACTAATAAAAATGGCAAATTGAAATTTACAAAGCTTAAAATGAGCATCAAGCTTTCCTTTTAATAAAGCCCACAAGCGATGAAACTTTGATGTCTGGTGCCGTGTGGCCTGGTGGCTGAAACTCTCGCTTCACACGGCAAGGGTCAGGGTTCAATTCCTAGCAAGGGTAGAAACACTGGGCGTGTTTCCTTACACCGGTTGTCCCTGTTCACCCATCAGTATAATGGGTACCTGGGTGTTAGTCGACTGGTGTGGGTCGCATCCTGGGACAAAACTGACCTAATCTGCCTGATTATTATTATTATTATAATCAAAGAGAAGCGCTAAGCCACAAGGGCTATACAGCCTAATCTGCCTGAAATTCTTAGCATAACAAGCAGCTTTCTATATAGTAGTATGTCATTGATGTCAGCTAGGACTGTATACCTTGTACTTGTACTTGTAGAAATAAAGATATTATTATTAAGTGCTAAACCAATAAGGGCCGTACAGCACCTGGAGCATGTGAGGCAATCAGATATGATCCGAGGAAGATGATTGGTAATTAAGGACAGTACCTAAATGTTGCACGTGTCTTATTCATCTATTAATAGTGTCATGGTCACCCACATGCAGACATACTTGCCTGTAATGGGTTCCAGCTGCCCAGTGCCACTCTAACAGCCTTTTTAAACGTGGGATTCATTGTTACGTTCTTCAGGTTACGTGCAGCTTGCTTAAAGGTTTCAATTTGCAACGTTGCTTCTTGTTGTTGTGGGTTTGTAAGGGCCGCTGAGCCAGCAATGTTTCCGTCTTCTTCTGTTGGGTTTCAGGGCCACTGACAGCATACGCCGTATCGAGCCCGAAGCAATGTTTCCTGTGGTGGTCTTCCTCTTGTTGGGGTTTATAGGGCCACTGACGGCACTCAGCCTTACTGAAGCCTGCCTTTGAAAGTAAGTTTATTCAGGTATACACAAATACAATTACAATAAAATACAAATACAAATATTTATTTCCTTGTAAAGCTTACAATGTATGGTTTACAGGTTATAAGATTAAGTTACAAAGATGCCCACTATCGTGGCTAGGCACTTCGAGCAGACTAATACTAATTCTTACGCCATTTTGATACAGGTCATATTTGAGCAGTACATTTGAATATATCATTAGGCACTTAAACAGGAACATTATCAGTTAGGTACATACATAATTAGGTTTAAGAGGGCTGGTAGTCAAATCATTTAACATTAGTACAAATGGCAGATTTAGTAATGGGAATCGATTTGATTTGACATATGTTTTTTTCCATTAAAATCATAATGGTGGAGTATCTTATACAAACTTAAGATTAACTTAAAATTTAGTAAGACTAACATAGGATTTAATAGGCAATAGCTATATTAGGCATTGTATGTTACAGTTACATAGATTATCATACATAGTAGCATATGTGTAAAGAACCTCGCGGGGAAAAATATGTTGCCCAAATCTGAGCGGGAATTGGAAAGGAAATGAAGTTTCCTCTGGAAAAAAAAAGAAATGGGAACCTGAAAGTTATATCAAGTGGAGCCTAAGACTAAATACGGGCAGAGTCAGGCGCTTTACTTCCCCAGCAAACATGTCTACACATTAGGTATTTTTCAGCTCTCTTCCTAAGAGCAGAGTAATCTAATTGTGTTTATGCCAGTCTTACCATAAATCAGTTTAAGAAGAGAGCCAAAAATACCTAATGAATGAGGTTACAGAAAAAGAGAAAAGTGATTTCTTGTATAATAAATATTCGAGTAACTTATTCGACTAATTTCGTCTTTATAATGAAGTAAGTTATATTCATGTATATAATTTGCTTACTTTTATTTCTATTTCATATATATTCTTGTAATTCGTTGCCTTGCATTTGGTTTACTCTGTTTGCTTTATTTTTTTATTGTTAATAATCATGATTGATTTTTACATTATGTAATAGTTAAGCTGCTTTGAAAAAACGGTGTTACAAGGATCCTACAGTGGCCCGTGGCCTGGTGGCAAAATCTCTCGCTCCACACGCTGAGGGTCCGGGTTCGATTCCCGGCAAAGGGTGAAAAGATTGGGCGCGTATCCTTACACCGGTTGTCCATGTTCACCCATCAGTAAAAATGGGTACCTGGGTGTTAGTCGACTGGTGTGGGTCGCATCCTGGGATAAAACTGGCTTAATTTGCGGGAAATGCTCTGCATAACAAGCGGCTTTCTGTTTAGTAGTATGTCATTGATGTCAGCTAGGACTGTATACCTTGTACATGTACTTGTAGTAAATAAAGATATTATTATTATTATTATTATTATAATGAAAATCAGAACAGAAAGAAAGGGCATTGCAGAAAGCCTACTTGCTCATGCCAGGCAGGTCTAACCCATACCCACTGATGTACTCATCCAACCCATTTTTAAAGCTATAAAAGGTTCTCGCCTCAGTGACTCGACTCGGGAGTTTGTTCTACTCATCTTCAGCTCTATTGCCAAACCAGTACTTTCCAATACTTTTTCTATATTTTTTTCCTAAACTTGAATCCATGTTGCGAGTCCTATCTTCGTTAGATATTTTTAACACTTTAATTATATCCCGTTTGCTTATTCCTGCCTTCCATTTGTACACTTCAGTCATATCTTCCTTCATTCTAAGCCTTTCCAGAGAATACAGATTCAATGTCCTCAGTCTGTCCTCGTATGAAAGATTTTTAAAGCATGGAATCCTCTTCGACAGCTTTCTTTGTATGTTTTCCAGTGCATGTATGTCTATTCTGTAATGCAGAGACCAGAACTGTGCAGATAATCTAGATGAGGTCTTACCAAGGATATATAAAGTAGAAGTATAGCCTGAGGGCTTTTATTATTGACTTAAGAAATCGTAATGACACGATTGCAAATAAACCATACCCCCGGCCGGGATTGAACCCGCGGTCATAGAGTCTCAAAACTCCAGCCCGTCGCGTTAGCCACTAGACCAGCTAGCCACAATAAGATTCATCCAACTAGGTATATTTCTACACCATAGGAAAGTTAGCACAGGCACCTCTGTGACCACAAATGCAAGTTTTTACAGACGAATCTCCAGCTAGCGTGGCCGTGACGAACTCTAGCTCAAGTCCCTTCACTGCCGTCAACATGACGGCAGTGAAGGGACTTGAGCTAGAGTTCGTCACGGCCACGCTAGCTGGAGATTCGTCTGTAAAAACTTGCATTTGTGGTCACAGAGGTGCCTGTGCTAACTTTCCTATGGTGTAGAAATATACCTAGTTGGATGAATCTTATTGTGGCTAGCTGGTCTAGTGGCTAACGCGACGGGCTGGAGTTTTGAGACTCTATGACCGCGGGTTCAATCCCGGCCGGGGGTATGGCTTTTATTATTAATGCTTCTTGATATGAAGCCAAGAACCTAGGTAATTTCTACATACATTACTATGTAAGACAATAGTAAATATCCAGAACTTGTGTAAAATTATATTTAAATAAGCTTACTGTACCAGCGTCGCTGCTGAAGTAATTGTAGTGACAATTGGTGGTGGTGTTGGTTGTGTTGTTTCGTCCAACGTGTGTGCGAAACGTTGTCAATAATGTGTGTGTGTGTGTGTGTGTGTGAGAGAGAGAGACTCAGCAATCAACATTTGCACCAATAACTCACTACAGTTGTGACCGGGTGTGGAAGTGTGAATTGCTCATTACTCTAAAATTTGTTCATGATTTCAGCCATGTATACACGTAAGTAACAATTCTTACAGTATTCATTACCTTTGTAACTTGTGAGTTCATTACCTTTGTAACTTGTGAGTTCATTACCTTGTACCTAGTTCAGCCATCAAAACTTTGGAGCCCGGTCCCTGGACCCATTGTGTACCTCTGTAATCTGTAAATACCTTTGTAACTTGTCATGATTGTGACTAGACCTACCTGGAGTTCATTACCTTTGTAAATTGTGAGTTCATTACCTTTGTAAATTGTGAATTCATTACCTCTGTAACTTGCCCAGCTATCAAAACTTTGAGGCCCAGTCCCTGGACCCATTATGTACCTCTGTAATCTTTTGACTACCGCCCACTGGATGGGTATGGGGTGCATAATAAACATATTAAACTGAAACTAATGGTTCACATTATACTGTATTTGTGTCTCATTTATTTTTCATCACAACATGGTATCACTTCATGCCAGAGATCAGGAGAGAGCCTTAAGGCTTTGGTCGTGTCATTACGATTTCGTGAGTCATTCTTGTTCGTGGTTTATAGGGCCACTGACCAACTCCGGTGTTTTTCTTATATGTGCTTTATAGGGCCACTGACCAACTCCTGTGTTCTTCTTATATGTATTGTATAGGGCCACTGACAGACTGCTGTTCCTCTTGTAGGTGATTTATATGGCCACTGTCAGTAAATAACAAAAAGGCACAATACCGTGACTGGAACGATGCACAAATAACCCGCACATAAAAGACAGAAGCTTACGACGACGTTTCGGTCCGACTTGGACCATTGACAAAGTCACACTGTGACTTAAGAAATCGTAATGACACGATTGCAAATAAACCATACCCCCGGCCGTGTCATTACGATTTCTTAAGTCATGTTGACGGCAGTGAAGGGACTTGAGCTAGAGTTCGTCACGGCCACGCTAGCTGGAGATTCGTCTGTAAAAACTTGCATTTGTGGTCACAGAGGTGCCTGTGCTAACTTTCCTATGGTGTAGAAATATACCTAGTTGGATGAATCTTATTGTGGCTAGCTGGTCTAGTGGCTAACGCGACGGGCTGGAGTTTTGAGACTCTATGACCGCGGGTTCAATCCCGGCCGGGGGTATGGTTCACACTGTGACTTTGTCAATGGTCCAAGTCGGACCGAAACGTCGTCGTAAGCTTCTGTCTTTTATGTGCGGGTTATTTGTGTATAATGCCACTGTCAGACTCGGGTGTTCCTCTTGTAGGTGTTTTGTAGGGCCACTGACAAACTCTGGTATGTAGATGAATGGGTCAAAGAACCGACAGGTTGATAAATTAGACACATGTGCAACTCTTGGGTATCTTTATTGAGGAAACGTTTCGCCACACAGTGGCTTCATCAGTCCATACAAAGGAGGATCATGAAGAACAGGAGGAGAATGAGAAAATCAGTCCCTCAACCTTGAGTCGATGTGGTCAGTCCATCAATCTTGAATAGAATACGGCATATGTGGTGAGAAGTAGCTTATATACCGTGGGCAGGAGAGGTGCAGCAGTCGTAGGTAGCGTCACATTTGTTCAATGCAGAAGTAGGTCGTGCCCAAAGGTTAGGCAAGCGAAGAATTCTCAAGTATTAAGATCCCAAGAAGTTGCAGTGTCTGACAGGATTGTAGATGAATGGTTCAAAGAACCGACAGGTTGATAAATTAGACACATGTGCAACTCTTGGGTATCTTTATTGAGGAAACGTTTCGCCACACAATGGCTTCATCGGTCCATACAAAGGAGAATCATGAAGAACAGGAGGAGAATGAGGTAACCAGTCCCTCAACCTTGAGTCGATGTGGTCAGTTCATCAATCTTAAATAGAATACGGCATACGTGCGGGTTCAAAGAACGTGTCGGTTCTCTTGTAGATGCTGTATAGGGCCACTGACAGAGTCCAGTGTTAGTGTTAGAACATAAGAACATAAGAAAGGAGGATCACTGCAGCAGGCCTGTTGGCCCATACTAGGCAGGTGCTTTATAAGACCACTGACAGACTATGGTGTTCTCTTTTAGTTGTTTTTAGGACCACTGACAGACTTTTTTGGGAGTTATCCTAAGTAATATACACTGTGTATGATGATTGTACTTTTGTGTACCTGTACCTGAATAAACTTATCAAATTATCGATCCACCAGAGGATTCCAATATTTTCTTACTTGCATAGAGGTCCCCTATATATAAGTTTAGGGTAATAGTAGATGACTCTTACACGGCGGAGTTTAGCCATTAATTATAGTTTGAGCTGTACAATGTTAAGTTGGTTTGCAGTTGAGATTTTGTTGTGCTCTAAATATCGGATACAAAATTTCACGCCCATTCTCCCAGGGTTGGTAAGTTTATTTAGGCACAGGTACGCAAAAGTACAATTTTCATACATAGTATAATTATGTTAGATAAACCAAAAAAGTCAGAGAAATTGGCATATTTCCATTGGGGTCCTTGACTTATTTCCATTGGGGTTACTAATTCAAGTAGGGATCTGGGCGTCCTGCACTACTGAGGCCTTCGCAAAGAAGCTCGCAGACTTCAGTAAGATCTTCCTGCATTTCTGTTCCCGAAGAGAACTTAGGTTAACTTTTTCTTTCATCGTTCATATTTGGGCAGCATTTCTTTCCTGGACACCCGGAGGCCGGGCTCAATACGGTGCTAGCTGTCAGTGGCTCTTTAAAACCCCAACAAGAATCCGCGTCTGCTTGACTGTGGCTGCTGCAAGAGGCCAGGCAGTGGCCGTGGCTCACCACCACACTTACCTGAAGTAACAAGGACAGTGGCAAGACCAGGGACCCACGCAAAATGTGTGAACAAGGGGAGAACTCTGCTGCCTCCAGCTCCAAGAAGGGTGGTCTTGTTTCCTTTCTCACTGGTAAACCCATCGAGATTCCGAAAAAGCATTTGGTATGTTTGTCAACGTGTCTGGCGGGTCTCCGTGAATGTAAGATTAATTAAGATAATATATAATTAGGATTTCAACTGCTATCTGAGATGTTATAGTCGCTTACGCAGCATAATGAGTGATATTTTTGGAACTTGTATATTGTGAGTTTATTTAGGCACAGGTTGTGGCATCTTAGACTAAAGACTCAGTTAAAGAACATTTTGTACAGTGGTTCTACCTTACATTATATTGTAACGATCTCCATTGATAGCTAGATTGGAGACGGTTAACTTTATAATATTACCTGACACTGCAGATACCATGGTATATAAATATAATCTCTGGCACCTCCATTGTGAATATTATGTTTATTGTATATTTTGGTTAGGATCTTATGTGTATTTCACTTACCAGTGTACTGGTAGTTAGGGTTGATTCAGCCCTTCATTGACTTGCCGGCTTCCCGCTGATCACGTGACCATAACTGACCTCTGATAACTGTGGGCTGCTAAAGTAAGTTGGCTCACCAACTTGCTACTAAGTGATTCCCTTTCTTGCATTTCCTTGCATGGGAACACCCTTCAGGTGCTAATGGTCTCAATTATTAATCTTATCCCTTGTATTGAGAATGTACATGCGACTTATGGATGGATATATCACATTAAAGCTGGCTATGACATACTATTTTTGGTGTACATCCCTATAAGGTTTTGTTATTTGTATTACAGGAATTTATAAATTCTTGGTGGATTACTGTGACAGTGATAATATTTATATACAGTAGACCGTCGTTTAACTTGGTAGTTACGTTCCTGAAAACGCCGTGTTAGACAAAACCATGTTGTAATAAAGTTGGTAGAATTACCGACAATATGTAAAGTAAAAGGACACAAGTGCAACTAATGTGACAATAAATGTCACAATAAATGAGGTGTTTTATATCACAGTTGTGTGTGCTGTGAAGTTTCTCTGTACATTTTCTAGGTCAGCAATTTCACCTGTCTTTAAAGGTGCTGTTAGTGTGCAGCAATATTCCAGCCTAGATAGAACAAGTGACCTGAAGAGTGTCATCATGGGCTTGGCATCCCTAGTTTTGAAGGTTCTCATTATCCATCCTGTCATTTTTCTAGCAGATGCGATTGATACAATGTTGTGATATTGGAAAGTGAGAACCTCTGACATTATCACTCCTAGGCCTTTGACATTAGTTTTTTGCTCTATTGTGTAGTTGCAATTTGTTTCATACTCCAATATAGTTTTAATTTCCTCAAGTTTTCCATATTGGAGTAATTGAAATTTCTCATCATTGAACTTCATACATGTATTGTTTTCTGTGACTCATTTAAATATTTGGTTGATGTCCACCTGGAGTCTTGCAGTGTCTTCAATGGAGGACACTGTCATGCAAATTTGGGCATCACATCCCTGTCTGTCAGTTGTGAGGATGAGGAACAGGACGGGAGCAAGTACTGTGCCTTGTGGAACAGAGCTTTTCACAGTAGCTGCCTCAGACTTTACTCTGTTTACTACTACTATTTGTGTTCTGTTTGTTAGGAAATTATAGATCCATCTACCAACTTTTCTTGTTATTCCTTCATCTCACATTTTGTGCTCTTTTATACCATGGTTACACTTGTCAAAGGCTTTTGCAAAATCTGTGTATACTACATCTGCATTTTGTTTGTCTTCTAGAGCATCCAGGACCTTGTCATAGTGGTCCAGTAGTTGGGACAGGCAGGAGCAACCTGCTCTAAACCCATGTTGCCCTGGGTTGTGTAACCAATGGGTATCTAGATGAGTGGTGATCTTGCTTCTTAGAACCCTTTCAAAGATTTTTTTGATATGGGATGTTAGTGCTATCAGTCTGTAGTTCTTTGCTATTGCTTTACTTCCCCCTTTGTGGAGTGGGGCTATGTCTGTTGTTTTTAGCAGTTGTGGGATGACCCCTATGTCCATGCTCCCTCTCCATAGGATGTTAAAAGCACATGATAGGGGTTTCTTGCAGTTCTTGATGAACACGGAGTTCCATGAGTCTGGGCCTGGGGCAGAGTGCATAGGCATGTCATTTATCACCATTTCAAAGTCATTTGGTGTCAGGATAATATCAGATAGGTTTGAGTCTACCAAATTCTGTGTCTCACTCATAAAAAATTCATTTAGGTTTTTGACTCTCAGACTGGTTAGCGGTGCGCTAAAAACCGATTCATATTGGGACTTTAGTAGCTCACTCATTTCCTTGCTGTCATCATCTGTCATCTGGATGTTGTTCTCGACTTAGATTTGGCATAAGAAAAAAAAATATTCTGGGTTTCTTTCAATTTCATCTATGACTGTTAGTTCTTCCTGCATTTCTTGACTCTCGTAAGATTCCTTTATTTCGGACCAGTGCCTCCCTTCGTATTACAGATATATTGCCCTCTTTTACCCACTCTGTTATTCCTCGCCTTTGCGTGTATAGGGAGCACCTTTCTCTTTCTAGTTTACATCTTCTCTTCTTTTTCCTTAAAGGAATATGCCTTGAGCACACCTCGAGTGCCAGAGAGTTAATTTTTTCTAGACATGGGTTAGGATCCGTGTTGCTTAGAATATCTTCCCAGTTTATATCATATAGGACCTGGTTGACTTGGTGTAATCTTATGTTTTTGTTATTGAAGTTGAATTTGGTGAAGGCTTCCTCGTGACTGATCACATTTTGTTAGTCTGGGGCTCCGTGCATACATGTTTGAACCTTTGTTATGTTGTGATCTGAGTATATTGTTTATGATCTGGTAATATTTTGTATCAGATTATTATTGTTAGTGAAGATGAGGTCCAGTGTATTCTCCAATCTTGTTGGCTCTATTATTTGCTGGTTTAAGTTGAATTTGGTGCAGAGATTTAAAAGCTCAGATGTGTGTGTTTTCATCTGAGCTGCCTCCTGGGGTTATCTCTGCTACAGCATTATTTGCTACATTCCTCCATTTTAGGTTCCTTAGGTTGAAATCCCCAGGAGCAAGATGTTTGGGGCAGGAGCTGGAAGTTTTTGCAGACAGTTATCTATTTTCAAAATCTGTTCCTGGAATTGTTGGGAAGTTGCATCCGGAGGCTTGTATACAACCACAATGACCAGGTTTTGGTTCTCGATCTCTACTGCCAAAACTTCAACTACATCATTAGGGGCGTTTAGTAGTTCCAAGAATATCAGTGACTCTGTGATGTACAGGCCAACCCCATCCCCATCCTTTTGCCTGTTCACTCTGTAGGTTATAACCCGGGATCCATATTTCATTGTCAGTGATCCTCTAGGTGGGTCTCCGTGAAAACTGTGAGCGTTGCATTTGACTCTGTAAATAGTCTACTGGCTTTAGACCCTGTATATTTGCAAAGATGAATGTTGTTGTATTGGTGGTATGGGGGATGTCTTTTTTTTCTGGCACTAATATCTGTTGTTTTGAAGCGGAGGCCATTGACTGTGATTCTGCTCCAGAAATGATCGAAGTTGGTGTACGATTTCTGTCATTTCCTGCCAGCTTTTTTTCATTCCTGTCTCTGGAGTGGTTGTGGCTACCCAGGTTTTCCCATGGTCTGGATGTTCTGTATCTTCTTGTCCCCTTTAGGTGGTGTGCCTGACAATATAAGTTATAGCACTGTCTTTCCTGAACTGAAGATTGACACATTGCAGGGTAGAAAAGCTTACAAGAAGGAAGGTTGTATTTTCCTGTTGTCATATGGGCACGGCATTTTCTGGGGTGGTCAAAGTTGCACATCTCACTTGTTTTTCCAGATATTCCATGCATGCAGATACCTGATGCATAGAATTTGCATAGGTCTGATTTCTGTTTGCCTTGGTTTTTTGTGACTGCATTCCCTGCTGGTGCGTGTTTCACTGTCTCTCTACTATCTTCAGCACTTGTTCTAACAATGGTGCCAGTATTTTCTGGTATTTTATCTTCACTATTCCCTGGGGCATCCCCTTGTTTACTATCTCCAGTGGTATTGCTAGTTTGTAGCTTTGGGTTTTGCATGTCCTTGTCTACACCTGTTTTCCCACTAGAGCTTCTGTCTCCCCCCAGGCTACCAACTTTCATTTCTGTATTCTTACATTTACCATCTACCAGGTATACATATAAGAACAATTATCATACATAGTAACTTACATGCAAATTACCTAGGATAACACAAAAAACATACACAATGACTTATTTGCATTGGGGTTTATATACATTTTTATGGGTTTATGTAACCATACCTAATCTTGCTGATAAATTGGTTGCTACCTGACTGCCATGGAAATCAGTCACTTTGACTTTTTTGGATTATCCTAGGTAAGTAAGTAAGTTTTTTCAGGTACAAGTACACGTAAATACAGTTGGATAAATTATCATACATACCATCATATGGGTAGATTACCTAGGATAGCCCCAAAAAATCACACAAAGTAACTTATTGCCATTAGTGTCCTTGTAATTTACACATATGTTACTGTGTAAGATAGTTGTACTTATGTGGACCTGTACCTAAATGAACTTACTAATAAGCCTTCACAAACTGTTTGCTGCCTGATGAAAATGTGTAGAGTACTGACAAGTAGATGAGTAAGACACATACAACAGTACAGTATCTTTGTTATTGAAACAGTTTGCCTACATAGTAGGCTTCTTCAATTAATTACAGAGGAGAATAAATAAGAAGACAGCAGCAGTAGTGGTGAGGTAAAGATGATATGATCAGTCCATTACCTTGCCACTACTGCTGCTGCCTCCATATATATTCTGCTCTGTATATGACTAAAGAAAATGATACATATGTACAGTTCAGGATATTAAATGAAACATTTTGCCATGATTGGCTTCATCAGTCATGGTGAAATGTTCCCTTTAATAAATGTCCTGAACTGTTCACAAATGTCCCTTTCCACAGTTTGTCAGTACAGTATCACTTTACCATTTACAATCATTTAACTAAAGAAGTCTACCATGTTGCATAACATTTTAATAAAGATAGCCTACTCTGTTGAACATGTGTATTATTCGTCTACTTGTTTACTTCCTGGCTGCTGGGCAAATGGCACTCTCTACTGGTAATAATAATAATAATAATAATAATAATAATAATACTAGGTAGTAGGATGGTAGACAGCAACCGCCCAGGGAGGTACTACCGTCCTGCTAAGTGAGTGTAAAACGGAAACCTGTAATTGTTTTACATGATGGTAGGATTGCTGGTGTCTTTTTTTTCTGTCTCATACACATGCAAGATTTCAGGTACAACTTGCTACTTCTACGTACACTTAGGTCACAATACACATACATGTACAAGCATATATATATACACACTCCTCTGGGTTTTCTTCTATTTTCTTTCTAGTTCTTGTTCTTGTTTATTTCCTCTTATCTCCATGGGGAAGTGGAACAGAATTCTTCCTCCGTAAGCCATGCGTGTTGTAAGAGGCTCCTAAAATGCCGGGGGCAAGGGGCTAGTAACCCCTTCTCCTCTATATATTACTAAATTTAAAACGAGAAACTTCTGTTTTTCTTTTTGGGCCACCCCACCTCAGTGGGATACGGCTGGTACGTTGAAAGAAAGAAAGAAATAATAATAATAATAATTATTATAATAATGTATATTGGTCATTAATCTAGTGTTGTAATTTATATTTTAACCTCATTGTGGTTTTTATACAGTAGAATCCCTGTGTCCATGAATTTGGTTTCAACAGTTTCAGTTATCCACAGTTTAGTGTAGCCCAAAAATAACCCTTAATTTTGCTTAATAATAATGACACCAAAGCAGTTTATCAAAGCCTAAGAGAAGCTGTGAAGTGCTTATTGTGCTTAATTTATTAATTAAACTTTATCTCCAGGTATCACAGGTATATATGTAAATGAAAAATGACATATACCATGGTTTCGGGTATACACAATACGTCTTGGAAAGTATCCCCAGCAAATATGGGGGGACTATTGTGTATGATTTTTATAATGTATATAGATGTTGCTTAGTTATTATAGTGCAGCACAATATCTGACTCTTTAATTATATTATTTGCTTTCAGTTTGGAATATGCAGGTTTGTAGGAGAATTTGAAAAACTTAATCGTGTTGGAGAAGGCACATACGGTGTTGTTTGTAAGTACATATATGTTCTAGCTCATATATTTACTGTATTTCAAAATGGTGAAAGACAGCCAGATATTATGTCAAATAATAAATCAAAAGAATAGCTTAGGTTTGAGCTTTTAACTTAGCAGAGTAATCTTACAAAAATTAAAAGTAATACCACACCTTGTAGATAAATGGTTCAGAGAACTGACAAGTTGATAAATTAGACACACATGCAACATTTGGGTATCTTTAATGAGGAAATGTTTCACCACACAGTGGCTTCACCAGTTCATACAAAGGAGAATGGTGAAGAACAGGAGGAGTTTGAGGTAATCAGTCCCTCAGCCTTGAGTCGATGTGATCAGTCCATCAACCTTGAAAAGATGGACTGATCATGTTGACTCAAGGCTAAGGGACTGATTACCTCAAACTCCTCCTCTTCTTTGCCATTCTCCTTTGTATGGACTAATGAAGCTACTGTGTGGCCAAACGTTTCCTCATTAAAGATACCCAAATGTTGCACATGTGTCTAATTTATCACCACACCTTGTATTTGTTAGCCTCAGGATGAAATTTCGGTCTTATTGATTTGGATTTTGAAGTGTTGACATTGTTCTATACAGCCTCTCCTCACCTAATGATGGAGTTTTGTTTCTAAGACCACATTGGTAAATGAATTTGTCATTAAGCAAGGAGCATACTATAATGGTTTGCACCATTTATAACATTTTTTAGTATATTTTTAAATGTTTATAGAGGAAATCAGCTCTAATATACATTATTTAGGTGTGCATACTGGTCAGAGAGCCCATCGTAAGTCCGAGTCATCTGTAAATGAGTATGTCGCTAAGTGAGGAGAGGCTGTATTCAGTTTCATTATTAAAAATACTTGCTTGATTATACTAATGTTTTTCAGATCGTGCACGAGATACAAAAACCAATGAAATTGTGGCTCTCAAAAAAATGCGCATGGAAAAAGAAAAGGATGGGATGCCGATATCTGGTCTGCGGGAGATAATGTTGCTGCAGTCGTGTAATCATCCCAATATTGTGTGCCTGAAGGAGGTGGTTGTTGGGCGTAGCTTGGAAAGGTGAGCTGAATCAGTGGTTATTCAGCTAATGATAAATATTGCCATGTAGCCCTAGTACATTTCATTTTTCTTTTTAGGTCACCCTGCCTTGGTAGGATACGGCTAGTTTGTTTAAAAAAAAAACATTTTTTATAAATAACATTCTGCTAAACCTAAGAGTAAGCAGTATTTTGATATAAAGGATTGTACTGTACTGTGCACTGCTGCAGTAACCCACAAATTAAAAAAGGAAACTAGATGTCAGTTCTGTCTGCCCTGTACTATTATCAAGATGCTTTGTCATGAATATTATTTGCTTACTAGGAGAGGCAAACATGAAGAAAAGACAGCTACAGATCATGTTTTCATTGTGATAACATCTCACCCTATGTAGAGATTTATTAAATTAAGATACTGTGTCCTGAAATGAGGTGGTTCTTGGCATTGTTTGGAAAAGTGAGCTGAATTGATATAATAGTTATTCTAGCTAATATTAAATATTGCCCTGCACAGAGCATAAGATTGTGATAATAGAATTGTGCACTCTACCTCTTTCTTTTCATTACTGTCATCAGTGTGCCTTAGTACCAAAGGAAAACATCTTCAATTTCCAGTTTTTGACTTTTAAATTGTTCCAGCCACAATATTGTGACTTCTGTTCTGTTCTACTCTAATTATTATCGAGCTCATAATTACAGTATAGTATATTGTACTTTATTTTATATTCTAGTGGAAATCTTTTACAATTAATGTTTGCATTCCAGTATTTTCCTGGTAATGGAGTATTGTGAGCAGGACTTGGCAAGTTTACTGGACAACATGCAGACACCATTTATGGAAGCTCAAGTCAAGTGTATAATGATACAGGCAAGTACTGAACAGCAGTATCCATGTAACTCCCACATAGACGAGCTAATGCTGAGATGATTGGAAATTACCACAGTAGAGAGACATCTGCTTTCTGCTGAGCTCAAAACAGTTGTTCTCTCCAACAGGTATTCAAGGGTCTTGCATATCTTCACAAAAAAGAGATTGTTCATCGCGATGTGAAGGTGTCCAATCTTCTTTTAACAAATATGGGAACAATAAAAATAGGTATAGTATTTGAATTAGGTTACAATATTTAATTTGCTTAGGGAATTCTGTAGGAAAGAAGCATTAAAATTTAAATACCTTCATTCCGTAATAAAATTGTGGTACACAAATGCTTAATAATGATAGCAGCAATGACTACAGGATATAGTTTAAGACATATTTATGTTAATGTATGAGCAGATTTTGTTAATAGGTGATTTGGTCAGGTTTCTATTATCAGAATGTTGATTAAATGTTATAAATTCACTGAAGTAGTGTACTACTGATCTGAGAAACAATATTTAGGAAGACAGGAGTTAAAGAATCCTTTAAATTAACATATGAGAGCTTTCATTTTATTACTGTTGTACATCATCTCTTCCATAAATTCTGCAATTATACAGTTTAAGGTTCATGTAAGTCTAAGCATTCAATTGTAAATTCAGAAGGTATATATACATTGACAAATGTACTTTTAGGGAGTCTGTTTTTTTTTTGATTGGTGGTGTGTACTGTAGATGAAATGCAGCCTTAATGATCATCATGGTTAATAATTTTTTCACGCTGTCTTTTTATCTGACTGGTAGGTGAATGATCAAGGGTTTGTTATCTGCACTGGAAAATGTGTGGTTAATAGTGATTCCAGATTATTGAACGTTAAATATTTGATTAATCACTTTGTAAATTATATATTCATGTTAATTTAAATACATGCGTGCATCTCTGCTGCAAATGTTCATTATTTAACCAACAATACGTATGCTCTTTGGGTTCTCTTTACATTTTTCATTTATTTCTAGCCGACTTTGGATTGGCTCGCGAATTGGGACATCCAATGTCTCCAATGACACCACAGGTGGTAACATTGTGGTACAGGGCTCCTGAGCTGCTCTTCCAGGTTAGTGTTACTGTACATCAATTTTTATTTTGAAATTGGTTCCCACATTATTCCTATGTTAGCCAAACCAAATGGCACAGGGAATATTATTGTAAGTTATTTTTGTATCTAATAGTTTTTAAATCTGTTTATATGGTACCTTGTAAACTTACATGCTTAGTTCACTTTTAATCATGGTACACATATTTTTCTTGTCAGTTGATGCTCCTTCACTACCATCATGTTATTATATTCATGGAGAAGCACTGTACCTCTAGGGGTCATAAGTACCTGGAGAATGGGACATAAGGTTGATTTGGTGAAGGGAAGGGTAGCTCCAGCTCCTTGGATTAAGAGCCCTTCACTAGCACCAAGGCACTTTCTGCCTTTATTTCATGTTATCATCATATTTAACTGGTAAAGCACCTCAATATTGTTCTCTTGAGACCAGTTAAAAGTTTCCTTGCAGCAAGTTGTGTTTTTCAGCAGGAATTTGAGACTCAAATCCAAAACCTTCTAGTCCTGTATCCTTATTTTTGTGGAAAGCTGTTATAATCATTGTATCTAGTCATTCTTATAACTGAGAGTTAGATGTTGAGTGTTTGCAGCAGTGTTGCACTGCAAAATGCTTTTATGGGTAACTTTTTATCCTTTACCACCATTTATACCTGAAATATTCTACCAATTATTTATCATTTCTCCTGCAGCCCCAAGTCTTTATTATCTGCTCATCAATCTCAGAATGTATTTTCTAAACTCCAGAACTCAAGTAGAACCATTTAATTTTATTGAATTCCTTCAAAAATATTATGGTGCTCACATTTCAACAGAATGTCAAGTATCACACACTGCTTGCTTCCTCTATTCAAGCATGTTTACATGCTGTATGTCTGTTGAAGGTTCAGTACTGTCTCCTTCATGGTCCTTTAACTATTTACTTGCATTACACCTTATGTTTAATCCAGATATATACATCCTGTAGGTAGTAGGTTGGTAGACAGCAACCGCCCAGGGAGGTACTACCGTCCTGCCAAGTGAGTGTAAAACAGAATCCTGTAATTGTTTTACATGATGGTAGGATTGCTGGTGTCTTTTCTCTGTACTCTTAAACATGCAAGATTTCAGGCACATCTTGCTACTTCTACTTACACTTAGGTCACACTACACATACTTGTACAGGCATATATATACACACCCCTCTGTGTTTTCTTCTATTTTCTTTCTAGCTCTTGTTCTTGTTTATTTCCTCTTATTTCCATGGGGAAGTGGAACAGAATTCTTCCTCCATAAGCCATGCGTGTTGTAAGAGGCAACTAAAATGCCGTAATTGTTTTGCATGATGGTAGGATTGCTTGTATCTTTTGTCTGTCTCATAAACATGCAAGATTTCAGGTATGTCTTGCTGCTTCTACTTACGCTTAGGTCACACTACACATACATGTACAAGCATATAGTATATACACACCCCTCTGGGTTTTCTTCTATTTTCTTACTAGTTCTTGTTCTTGTTTATTCCCTCTTACCTCCATGGGGAAGTGGAACAGAATTCTTCCTCTGTAAGCCATGCGTGTTGTAAGAGGCAACTAAAATGCCAGGAGCAAGGTTCTAATAACCCCTTCTTCTGTATATATTACTAAATGTAAAAGGAGAAACTTTCGTTTTTCCTTTTGGGCCACCCCACCTCGGTGGGATACGGCTGGTGTGTCGAAAGAAAGAAAAAGGAGAAACTTTCGTTTTTCCTTTTGGGCCACCCTGCCTCGGTGGGATATGGCCGGTGTGTTGAAAGAAAGATATACATCCTCTTTACCAAGCTATCTTGCTCCAATATTTTTTAATTCTCAAACATTCTCAATAACCTCTCTTCTTCTCTTTGAATCATACTGCTTATGCCACTGCCCCATTTTCTTATTATTTATTCTTTATTCTATGCCAGGTGGAGTAAGAATCGTCCTAGGAAAGGTTGGCGGGTGGGGGTAAAGGAGATTTTTGGGCTCCTATTTAACATGCTCATGCATGCAAGCATGCTGCATAGGAGAGAATAGAGACGAATGGATTTTGGGATCTGACGAGCTGTTGGAGTGAACAGGGTAATATTTTGTGAAGGGATTCAGGGAAACCAGTTATCCGAATTTGAGTCCTGGAGGTGGGAAGTACAGTGCCTGCACTTTGAAGGAGGGGTTTGTGATATTGGCTGTTTGGAGTGACATCTAAACTGTCATATCTAAGTGCCTTTGCAAATACAATGATCATGTATGAATGATGGTGAAAATGTTGAACAATGATGAAAGTTTTTACTTTCATTTTTTTTTTTTCTTTTTGAGTCGCTCTGCCTTGGTGGGAAATGGCCAAAGTGTTAAAAAAAAAAAATGTTAGTCTCCAGCAAAACATTACTTCCAACCCTCTCTCTCTCCTGCTGCAACTTTTATTATCCATATTTTACACTCACAGTAGTATTGGTATCATTAATGCAGTCACGTTTTTGCACGCATTGGTCAACCTCTTTCTTTAAAAATTCTCCTAAACTGTAAATTTCTCTTCATTTGTTTTGTGATTTCCTTCATTCTCCATAAAACTATTTACTGACATAGCCATCCCAAAGCATCTAAAGCAAGCAAGCAACTTCTTTGTATATAATCCTAATTTTTAAAGGGGTGGACTAGTAAGCCAGCAGAAGGCCTTGGTCAGATGGCCAAAAGCCCCAGCGACAAGTCATCATGTGACCAAGACCCATATCAGGAAACACCTGTCTTGTTTCCTGATGAATCTTACCCAACCTAACCTTACGTTCTCTTTCCAACTTTATAAATATTTATGATACTGTATACGTACATTTTCTTTTTTATGTATCATCAGGCAAAGACACAGACAACAGGTGTGGACATGTGGGCAGCTGGTTGTATTCTGGGGGAACTCCTGTTGCACAAGCCACTGTTGCCTGGGAAGTCTGAAATTGAACAGATTAACCTCATTATTAATCTCTTAGGTAAGATGAGTGGAAAATTGTTATGCTTGTGTGCTTGTGCACTTCTGAAAAGACAGTCATAAACTGGGTAATGTTAAATGTGTTTCCTTCTTTGGTTTTCCCTGCCTTGGTGGGAAATGGCCTGTGTGTTAAAGACTGAACTGTGTACTCTACAATCTAATACCATAGTTACAATTTGAAGTACGTACTTCTTTATATAAATAATGATTAATTTGCCAGGTACACCAAATGACACCATCTGGCCTGACTTCTCTCAGTTGGCAGCAATTGAGAACTTCACATTGAAATCTCAACCATACAATAATCTGAAGACTAAGTTCCCAGTACTATCACCATCTGGACAACGTCTGCTCAACTTTCTTTTCATGTATGACCCCAAGAGACGGGCTACTGCAGAGGAGTGCCTCAAGAGCTCCTATTTTAAAGAGAATCCGTTACGTATGTATATTGTCAATCATGGTTTGTATTTAGAATACCTGTAGTTACTGTATAAAAAGCAGTCAGTAGACTAATTTTGCAAATTTACTTTGTAAATTCAGTAGAAAAGTTATTACAGAAAAGCAGTAGAGTGCTATTTTGTTTATAGTTTTAGTTAATTAAATATTGTGTGATGATAAATCAAGTAAGGATGATAAATCAAGTAAGGAAGTGCTGTTTTAAGTAAATACACCTACCATCCGACTTACGACCTGCTCAACATACGTCCACTCGACTTATGACCGTGCGTCTGGCAGCTGGGCTGGGCCGGCTGATGCACACCACAGTACAATATTTGACAATACTCGTGGCGGCAATGCGTCATGCAGGCAGCATCAGTTTGAGTAACCCTGCCCTATCAGCATCATCATACTGTATTAACTGTACTAACTGGACAGTAAATTTCACCATGGCCCCTAAGATGAAGTCTGAATCTTGCACTGGAGATTGTGGAAAGAAAGGCTCTTTCTCTCGAACTCTCTATTTGTTTTCACTGTTGCACATAAACCTGTCTGTATCTGTCTGCCTGTATATCTGTGTATCTCTGTGTGTCTGTTTATCTGTCTGTCTACCTGTGTGTCTGTCTTTCTGTCTACCTGTGTCTATGTCTACCTGTGTGTCTGTCTACCTGTGTGTGTCTTTCTGTCTACCTGTGTGTCTGTCTACTTGTCTGTCTTTATGTCTACCTGTGTGTGTGTCTTTCTGTCTACCAGTGTCTTTCTGTCTACCTGTGTGTATCTTTCTGTCTACCTGTGTGTCTTTCTGTCTACCTGTGTGTGTCTTTCTGTCTACCTGTGTGTCTCTTTCTGTCTATCTGTGTGTGTGTCTTTCTGTCTACCTGTGTGTCTGTCTTTCTGTCTACCTGTGTGTGTCTTTCTGTCTACCTGTGTGTCTGTCTTTCTGTCTGCTTGCCTGTCTCAGAGCCACTCAGAGTATAATTGGTCTTGAAGATGCCATATTAATAATGATAATAACACAGTAATAATCACTGAGAACAATGAAAAAAATGACTTGGTTTATAAGAATGTGTTGAGTTCCAGTATGACATCATACTTGTAGGCAAGATATATTAGCCATCAAAAGTTGAAAATTCATCCTCTAAGAATACTGCAATATTGTTATATGCTTTTGAATTTTAGCCTAGTGTTAACAGGAATATTTTGTCTCCTTAATAAAACTCATTCTTTTCTAGCATGTGATCCACGGATGATGCCAACGTTCCCTCAGCATCGCAATCTTAAGCAACAGCCAGTAGTGCCACCTGCACCAGCAGCACCTAACTTAACTGAAGTACCTACAGGACCGCCAGTAAATTTGTTTCCACCAGAGCGGCTTGAATCTGAGCCTGTATCCAGTGGCAAAATTGGCATTAGTGAGCTATTAAACTCTCTTCAGAGAAGATAGCATCTTAAACCATCTGTAAATTAAGAGATTTTCATTATTTACTGTTGGGTTAGTACAATGCATCGTTAAAGGGCAACAAATTAAATTTTCTTTCATATAAATCTTTTTTTAATTGTATAATATAAAAATTTAGGTATGACTATGTTTCTAATTTGTTACAAGGTAAATGTTCATAATTAATTTTATGATTGAACCCACATTCTAATAAACAATATATTAATATTGTTGCTTTTTTTAAACACTGGAGCCAGGTTGTACCTATAATTTTTTTTTTTTTTTACTTTCAACTTCATGGATATAATATTGTTAAACTATCAAATACATTTTTTCATTCCAAATATGAAATGGGTTTATAAAAGTTTATATTCATGTTCATTTATTATTTGCTTGATAAATTATTAATTCTCATGTAATACAATCATCTCCAAAGAAGGTTCAGCTGTGGATATGCTTTCATGTGATGCAATTATGATTTGTATGCCCCTTAAAATAGGAAATAAAAATATTCCCACATACACTGATAATTTAATAGACCAGTTGAATATATTTTTGTGCAGTAGTCAGGTCCCAGAAATCACTAATAGGAATAGCAACCTCTTTGTAAAACATTTATAACTAGTAACAGGGCCAGACTCCCTTCAAGGAAGAGGTGGGATGGTAACTACAAATTCCAAGGAATTTTTTGTAGCTTTAGGGAACACATTGAAAATGCTTCAGTGGGATCTTAATAGTTTAAGTATATTATCCAGTCTGATATTGTACCCTTCAGGGCTGGTGACTTGATGTAAGGGGCTCTTGATCGAAGAAATTGGATCTATCTAACCCCTTTCTTGGATTGAAGCTGATTGCCTCCTACTCCCTAGGCATTGTGTGGCCTCAAAGGTGTGCTTCCCCTGAATAAAATGTCTAGTCTACTAGGTATTAATGTTCTTCTAGTGGCTCTTCACCCTTCAAGGACCCTCAAGGAGGAGGTTTCTTGATGCTAGTGAAGAGCTCTCACTCTAAGGAACTGGAACCCTGTTCAGAGTTCTTGAACTAAACCTGAATGTCTTCTAGTCTCAAGGCACTATATAACCATACTGTATTGCTTTAGTGCTTCCTCTTGAGTGTAATAATAGAGGCCTTTCAAGGGGTTATTGTATTTGGGTCTGACGAATTGGACCTTTTGGTCTTTTTTCTCCGACTGAGCCTAAATACCCCCTCACTCTGTCTCTGCTCCATCCTTCCCATCCCTCTTCCTTTTCCCATCCCTCCCCTCTCCCTTTGCTGCTTTTGGCCTTTGGTGTTCCCCTCAGACATTCTAGTTCCTAGGTTGGGGAAAGGGTATTGTTGCCCATCGCATTCAGTTGAGGTCCTTGGTGGTGGTGTAATTTGCCGTGGAATCTGGGTCATCTGGAGTATGTCCCAATTTCTCTCTAGTCTCCTGAGGAGGGGCTTATGACACCTTTCGGGTGACATGTGTATCTCTGGAGGCTGCCTGTCGGATTCCAGGAGGTGGTGGCTGAAGGAAGTATGCCTTGTGGTGGGTATCCAACTGCCCTCTCTTTTGTCCACCAAGGTGGCTCGGTGGATGTGAGGTTGCTATCCTGGATTGCCAGTTTACTGGCATGAAGGATAGGGTATGGCATGGGTTCCATGCTGCATCTGCACTACTGGCCACATTGAGGTCCTCTTGAGTGTGGAGGGGGATTTACAACCCTTTTGTCCCTCCTAGGAGCTACCCTTCCATGTTCTCCCCTTTTTTTTTCTTCTTTTTTCCCTTTTTTGGAAAAATAGACAGAAAAAATGTAACCTAACCATGGAGTCACAAATCCGTGAAACTTGTCCTCCCAGATCCCTTTCTGCTGTAGTGCTTTCTCACGAATCTACCTTATTATCGGACTATTATTTGGACCTTTCTAACAACCCGGTACCTTCAGCGAATAACATTTCATTGCCTGCTCCTAGTGCCAAGGTTCTGCTTGACTCCTATGATACATCTGACCTCTGCATGTCTTTGACCATGCATCCTGCTTCTCTCTCTATGGTGCAATGATTTTTCAGATCACCTGCCCAATCTCAGGATGGACCACCTCTGGTTCCACTCCTAAACAACCACGACTATTAACTGATTACACTGCTTCGATTGCCTCTCACTCTTCCCAGAAAAGACCAGCATGACACTCTCTCCCCTTACACACTACATTTCAAAGTACACATTGGACTAAGTTTTTCACTGCAGCTGACATCTCCCGCTGACTATCTTTCTGATCATGGTAGTAGCAAGGCATTTCTGTGCCATGTAGGTCAAAATATTTCATTTCATTCTCTTGAGAGTGGTGCACATATCATCACAGTACGAAATGCTGGCCAGGCTCACAATCTTTTCCTTTTTACTTCAATAGACATTATTCCTATCACAATTCGAAAACACTTTTCTCTCAGTTCTTGCAATGGTACCGTAGTTCTGCCTCATAATAATACTAATAATTTTATTTTAGCATGATACATGTTTGTACAAAAGAGTATAACAGTTGGGTGCACATACCAAAAGCCCCTTTATATGCAGAGTATTTTGGGCAAACTTAAGACTAACTTAAGATTAATAAGGCAATAACAGTGCAGTAATTGTACCTATGGTCATTAGGTGAGCTATAATGAATACAAGAAAATTGACTGCTCTATTAGTTCATGCTATATGGCTTTAATAAGTTTGGTAGAGAAGTATTAGAGTTTTGATTATTAACCTAAAATGGAATGATTAACATTTGAGAGGATTACAGATATCGAGAGTAAGTAGTATATATTAATTATAATGTTTTAATTAAGTTAATGATATTGAGCAAATACTGTACACATATAGTTTTTACATATTTATGATGGGCGAGGATAGGTTAAGGAGATAAGGTGTTTTCTAACTGTAGTTTTAAAAATGCCGAGCCAGTAGTTCTGGAGATTTCTGGCAAAGTGTTCCAAATTCTGGGTCCTTTTATGTGCATTGACTTTCTGAAAAGATTTAGCCTGACACAGGGAATGTCATAGGGATTTTTGTGCCTAGTATTGCATCTGTGGGTTCTATTGCAACTGTCAAGAAAGTGCTTCAGGTCAGGATTACATATATTAGAATTGATTGTTCTGCAAATGTAGGTGGCACAGTAGTACGAGTGAATGTTTTGTATAGTGAGTAAGTTTAGGTCTTTGAAAAGTTGGGGCAGGGGGGGGGGGGTTGTCTAGATGTAGATTGTGTGATCATTCATACTGCAGCTTTTTGTTGGGTTATTACTGGCTTTAGGTGATTTGTCGTTGTGGAACCTCAGGCACAAATTGCATAATTGAGGCATGGGGTAGATCAGTGAATGGTATAGTGTAAGTAGTGCTGTTTATGGTACTTAGTAATGTATCTTTGAGAGGATGCCAACAGTTTCAGATACTTTTTTTGTTGTGTTGAATATGGGTGTTGACTTTCAGGTTGCTGTTAAAGTGTAGACTCAGGAATTTTCCTTTGTTATGTTTAGCAATAAGGATGTTGTTAAGCATAATGTTTAGTTGGACTTCACTTGCTCTACTCCCAAACATAATGTAAAAGGTTTTGTCTGTGTTCACTGTAAGTTTTTTGACTGTCATCCTGGTTGCTATTTTTGCGAGCTCTTAATTAACAATAGTATCGAGTGAAGCTAGATTAGGGTGGGATATGACAAAAGTCATGTTGTCAGCAAAGAGAATAGCCATAAGTTGTTGTGACATGCTTGGAAAGTCGATGTATAAAAGGAAAAGGAGGGGGCCAAGAATGCTTCCCTGTGGTACACCAGTGTCCAGGGGTCTTGTTGAGGAGGTTGTGTCTTTGATAGAGATGTCCCCTCAAGGGAGGTTCCTTGATGCTGGTGAGGGAATCTTGATCTAGGGAATTGGATCTGTGCTCCAGTTCTCTGAATTAAGTCTGAATACCTTCCATCCCCCCACCTCTACAGGTGCTGTATATTTCTATGGGTTTAGTGCTCCCAGACGTTGCATTTCCGGTTTCTTCCCTACCACCACCACTTCTGTTACTTGGCGATTTTAATGCTCACCATTTCCTCTTGGGGGGGGTCTCACAGTGATTCTTGCGGCATTCGGTTAGAGGATCTTCTCACTTCTCTCCATCTGCATAGTGCCCCGTGGTCTGATGGCTAAAGCTCTTGCTTCACACGCTGAGGGTCTAGGTTCAATTCCCAGTGAGGGTAGAAACATTGTGCGAGTTTCTTTACACTGGTTGTCTATGTTCCCCATCAGTAAAATGGGAACCTGGGAGTTTGTCGACTGGTGTGGGCCACATCCTGGGACAAAACTGACCTAATTTGCCCAAAATGCTCTGCATAACAAGTGGCTTTCTATATGTAGTAGTATGTCATCGATATCAGCTAGGCCTGTATACCTTGTACATGTACTTGTAGAAATAAAGGTATTTATTTATTTAATACGAGTTCTCCCACTCATTTTGATCCTCATACTCGATCTCTTGCATTGTTCTCTCAGTTTGCTCTTCCTCAACTGCACTAGATTTTACCTGATCTGTGCTCCTGGACTTACATGACAGTGATCATTTTCCAATCCTTCTTAATTCTCATTTGTATTCTCCACCCCATCGTCACCCATGCTGTCAATTTGACAGAGTGCGTTGGGACCAGTACTTGTGGCAAACTGCTTTTAGTGAGATTCCTTCCTCATCCTCCATTGATGAGCTGTAACACCTATTCTTGACCTCAGTTTTAACTGCGGCTTCACATTCTATACCCCAAACCTCAGGCAAGGCACTGTCAGAAGTGCGTGTCTAGGTGGTCTCCTGCTTGTGCTCATGCAGTATGTTTGAAATGCTCTTCGTGGGGCAGATATTGGTACAATAGGACTACAGAGCTCCTACTTGATTTTAAGTGGATGAGAGCAACCGCCCGCCATGTCATCCACGAAGCCAAACGCACTTGTTGGCAGGATTGTTTCTACTGTAACTTCGTGTCACTTGTGTTGCAGAGGTCTGAGCTTTGCTCAGATCTCTACAACACAATCGTCTATAAAGATTTGTTAAGTATACCATGAATTAAGGAAAGATCCTATACTTCACTTTACAAAACAGACAAAGCAAATGCGATAGTAATTATAGAGAAGGTAGATTATACATAGTGGAAAAATGAACATGTTATTAGAATGTTCAGGTGCTGTGTGAGCCCCTGTGGGTTTAGCACTTTGTGAATTTAAGTCATATTTTTTTTTTTTACTGGCAGGAAGATAAGCGATTTTAGATGAAACGTTTATGCATTGTGCCGAGCCCGGGTATCAAACCCAAGACACTTCTGGCGGGTGCCCAACGCTCTGACCAGTGAAGCTGTATAGTCCTTGTGGCTTAGCGCTTCTTTTTGATTATAATAATAATAATCTGACCAGTGACCCCTCAAGGGAGGTTCCTTGATGCTGGTGAGGGGCTCTTGATCTAGGGAATTGGATCTGTGCTGCTCCAGTTCCCTGAATTGAGCGAGAATGCCTCCCATCCCCCCCCCCATGCGCTGTATAATCCTACGGGTTTAGCGCTCCCCCATGATTATAATCTGACCAGTGAGCTGTGGCACCCCCGGGGTGCCAGGTAGGTTACCTGGAGGGAGGAGGCACCATTATTGTAATTTAAGGGAAGCGCTAAACCCTTAGGGTTAATACAGCTCCGTGGGGATGTAGGGTAATCCTGTTTAATCCGAGGAAGGGGAGTATAGCTTTAATTCATTGTATCGAAATCCCGTCATCAAGGTACCCTTGAATTATTCTCATTATTCTTATGGGGAAGCGTTAAAGTAATAAGAGCGGTGTGATCCTTGAATCAAGGTGATGGAAGACAAATAATTGTGATCCTTGGATCAAGAGTCCTGCCATAGGGCATCAAGGCTCTTTCAAAGACAATGGGAAACTAAAGAGAAAGCATCAAGTGACATTTAGTGTATTTTACAAGAATAAAATAATACCCAGAGGCTAAGCAAATTATTATTTGAGTTTCTTGATAAACGAGTAATGAAAAGCAGAGTAGATGTAAAATAGATATAATGTAGAGTAGATAATGAGGTGAGTTAGGTACACGTCAGACTGAGGCAGCAGCAGCGGCAGCGGCAGCAGTGGTAGTAGTGTCAGCAGGGTAGCAGGGTGTTACTGCACTCCCTCCTCACTACACCTCACTCGCTACACCTTTGTGTCATCACTACACTGATGTACACCATGTTAGGGTGGTGTGTGGCACTGTGCCTGGCAGTGATGACTGTGGCACAGCAGAGAGTAGCACCCGGGGTACCACAGGGACAGTACCAGCAGGCAGGTACTCAGCAGCAGCAGCAGCAGCCACGACCTCCAGCACCACAGCAGCAGCAGCAGCAGGTCAGCAAGCAGGTCTAAACTTACTGATCCAAGGAACAGGAGCTACCCTCCTGTTCCTCGGATCAAGCTTAACTTTCCATTCCCCTGGTGATATATACTCCCCCTCCATACGGACACTCAGCCAGGTGCCGTTATGAATGTGAAAGGCTCTTGATCTGAGGAATTGGACTTATCACTCCTCTTCCTCGGATCAAGATTACGTTCCTTCCATGCCCCAGGTACCGTATGACCCCTGTGGGTCTAGTGCCTTCCCATACATGTGTTTAAAACACCTGTTGCTCCCTTAATTACTGCTGAGGTGTGTAGGTTATGGTTATTAAGTTTATTTAGGTACACTTGTACAAATTTAGGTGATCACAATTATCCTGTACAGTAACATAGGCATAAATTACCCAGCGTAACCCCAAAAAAGTGAAAGTTCAGTACTTGTATGTACCACAGCATGTACCACAGCATGTACCACAGCATGTACCACTGCATGTACCACAGCATGTACCACAGCATGTACCACTGCATGTACCACTGCATGTACCACAGCATGTACCACAGCATGGACCACAGCATGTACCACAGCATGTACCACTGCATGTACCACAGCATGTACCACTGCATGTACCACAGCATGTACCACAGCATGTACCACTGCATGCACCACTGCATGTACCACTGCATGCACCACAGCATGCACCACAGCATGTACCACAGCATGTACCACAGCATGTACCACTGCATGTACCACTGCATGCACCACAGCATGTACCACAGCATGTACCACTGCATGTACCACTGCATGTACCACTGCATGTACCACTGCATGTACCACTGCATGTACCACAGCATGTACCACTGCATGTACCACTGCATGTACCACAGCATGTACCACTGCATGTACCACTGCATGTACCACAGCATGTACCACAGCATGTACCACTGCATGTACCACTGCATGTACCACTGCATGCACCACAGCATGTACCACTGCATGTACCACAGCATGTACCACAGCATGTACCACAGCATGTACCACTGCATGTACCACTGCATGTACCACTGCATGTACCACTGCATGTACAATGCATGTACAATGCATGTACACTGCATGTACCACCATGTACCACTGCATGTGCCACTGCATGTACCACAGCATGTACCACAGCATGTACCACAGCATGTACCACAGCATGTACCACAGCATATATCACTGCATGTACCACAGCATGTACCACAGCATGTACCACTGCATGTACCACAGCATGTACCACTATGTACCACATATATCACTGCATGTACCACAGCATATATCACTGCATGTACCACAGCATGTACCACAGCATGTACCACTGCATGTACCACTGCATGTACCACAGCATGTACCACAGCATGTACCACTGCATGTACCACTGCATGTACCACTGCATGTACCACAGCATGTACCACAGCATGTACCACAGCATGTACCACTGTATGTACCACATATATCACTGCATGTACCACAGCATATATCACTGCATGTACCACAGCATGTACCACAGCATGTACCACTGCATGTACCACTGCATGTACCACTGTATGTACCACAGCATGTACCACTGCATGTACCACTGCATGTACCACTGCATGTACCACTGCATGTACCACAGCATGTACCACTGCATGTACCACAGCATGTACCACTGCATGCACCACAGCATGTACCACAGCATGTACCACAGCATGTACCACAGCATGTACCACAGCATGTACCACAGCATGTACCACAGCATGTACCACTGCATGTACCACTGCATGTACCACTGCATGTACCACTGCATGTACCACTGCATGCACCACAGCATGTACCACAGCATGTACCACAGCATGTACCACTGCATGTACCACTGCATGTACCACTGCATGTACAATGCATGTACAATGCATGTACTACTGCATGTACCACATGTACCACTGCATGTGCCACTGCATGTACCACAGCATGTACCACAGCATGTACCACTGCATGTACCACAGCATGTACCACTGTATGTACCACAGCATATATCTGCATGTACCACAGCATGTACCACAGCATGTACCACAGCATGTACCACTGCATATACCACTGCATGTACCACAGCATGTACCACTATGTACCACATATATCACTGCATGTACCACAGCATATATCACTGCATGTACCACAGCATGTACCACAGCATGTACCACTGCATGTACCACTGCATGTACCACAGCATGTACCACAGAATGTACCACAGAATGTACCACTGCATGTACCACTGCATGTACCACAGCATGTACCACAGCATGTACCACAGCATGTACCACAGCATGTACCACTGTATGTACCACATATATCACTGCATGTACCACAGCATATATCACTGCATGTACCACAGCATGTACCACAGCATGTACCACTGCATGTACCACAGCATGTACCACAGCATGTACCACAGCATGTACCACTGCATGTACCACTGCATGTACCACAGCATGTACCACAGCATGTACCACAGCATGTACCACTGCATGTACCACTGCATGTACCACTGCATGCACCACTGCATGTACCACTGCATGTACCACAGCATGTACCACAGCATGTACCACTGCATGTACCACTGCATGTACCACTGCATGTACCACTGCATGTACAATGCATGTACAATGCATGTACTACTGCATGTACCACATGTACCACTGCATGTGCCACTTCATGTACCACTTCATGTACCACAGCATGTACCACAGCATGTACCACTGCATGTACCACAGCATGTACCACTGTATGTACCACAGCATATATCTGCATGTACCACAGCATGTACCACAGCATGTACCACAGCATGTACCACTGCATGACCACTGCATGTACCACAGCATGTACACATGTACCAACATACATCACTGCATGTACCACAGCATATATCACTGCATGTACCACAGCATGTACCACTGCATGTACCACTGCATGTACCACTGCATGTACCACTGCATGTACCACAGCATGTACCACAGCATGTACCACAGCATGTACCACAGCATGTTACCACTGTATGTACCGACAAATACACTGCATTTACGAACCAGCATATATCACTGCATGTACCACAGCATTACCACAGCATGTACCACTGCATGTACCACTGTCATGTTACACGCATGTACCACAGCATGTACCACTGTCATGTACCACAGATGTACCACAGCATGTACCACTGCATGTACCACGCATGTACCACTGCATGCACCACAGCATGTACCACAGCATGCACCACAGCATGCTACCACAGCATCACCAAGCATGTACCACAGCATGTACCACAGCATGTACCACTGCATGCACCACTAGCATGCACCACAGCATGTACCATGCATGTACACACATGTACCACAGCATGTACACTGCATGCACCACTGCATGCACCACAGCATGGACCACTCATTGCCTGTTATGTATGAAATTTAATATTTAGATATTGATTTATAAATATAAATTTACAGGATGGCAATTTTCATGGAAATGCCAATGATATATGCAGTTATTAATTCAGAGGTCTCGTAACCCAGGATAACCACTAATAGGATGTATATGGACTGTCCCTTTCCATTGGGTTCCTTAACCTCTCCACAGATGAGAACTATATCAGTAGCTAATACCCAGGCACCTGCAACTCTAGGTACTTTAGCTGTCACCATATTGTAGAGAGTCACTCATAAGTCAGAAAAAATGGCAATATCCCTCATGCCAAGGACCCAACATTTCTGCAAATGATGTAAAGGACAAATGATTTAATTAGGTTCTTTGTCTCGGTTAACCCATCAAAGTTAGTGTATAAGGCATCCCATAGCTCGATTGCTAGCACACTTAGCTCGCACGTTAAGGTCCGGAGTTTTAATCTCCAGTATGATGTCTTTCCATAAGACACCTGCTGTCCGTGTTCACCCATCAGTATAAAATGGGTACCTGGGTGTTAGTCAACTGGTGTGGGTCGCATCCTGGGACAAAACTGACCTAATTTACCCGAAATGCTCTGCATAAAAAGCGGCTTTCTATATAGTAGTGTGTCATTGTTTTTAGCTAGGCCTGTATACCATGTACATGTACTTGTAGAAATAAAGATATTAATAACTTCACAACAGCAATGACAAACATCGACTGGCATACTGAGCTAGAAATCTATACAGATATTGATGAACGTACAGTATTAATAATTTTTTAAAAAAGGCCCAATACCTCTATAACAAGCACTGCCCTAAAAAGCTAAACAGATCACAGCTAAGAGACTGAACAGTCCCTTGCTAACACCCAGCATCCTGAAATTCATAAATACAAAGCACTTATATGAAAAACAGTACAGAATGGGTCACGTAACCAGAAACCAAACAAAACGTTACTCGTCAGTCCTAACCAGCCTGATAAGAAGGGCTAAAAAATTGTATTATGAGAACAGATTATCCAAATTAAAAGGAGATATAAAAAAGACCTGGAAAACCCTATCAGAAATTCTAGGAACATAAAAGATATCAGAAAATAGCACATTTGAACTAACAAAACCAGATGAACCCCAACTCCCACCAACTGAAACAGCAAACAGACTCAATGTTTTCTTTTCCACCATAGGAAAAAACCTTGCCGATAAAATCCCAAGCTCAAATACCCCACCCAATGACAACCTCACTGGCAACACCCGAACATACTGTTCCTAGCTCCAACTAACCCAACAGAAGTCTCCCTTATTATCAACACACTAAAAAACAAGACAGGAGATTTAAATACCTTATCATCCTTTATATACAAAAAAGCTTCGCAAGTGCTGTCACCAATCTTCATCAGAGTACAAAACAAATTCTGGCCACAAAATAGAGCGAAACACCAACGTCAAAGACCTGGGAGTGATCATGTCGGAGGATCTCACCTTCAAGGACCATAACATTGTATCAATCGCATCTGCTAGAAAATTGACAGGATGGATAATGAGAACCTTCAAAACTAGGGAGGCCAAGCCCATGATGACACTCTTCAGGTCACTTGTTCTATCTAGGCTGGAATATTGCTGCACACTAACAGCACCTTTCAAGGCAGGTGAAATTGCTGACCTAGAAAATGTACAGAGAACCTTCACGGCGCGCATAACGGAGATAAAACACCTCAATTACTGGGAGCGCTTGAGGTTCCTGAACCTGTATTCCTTGGAACGCAGGCGGGAGAGATACATGATTATATACACCTGGAAAATCCTAGAGGGACTAGTACCGAACTTGCACATGAAAATCACTCACTACGAAAGCAAAAGACTTGGCAGACGATGCAACATCCCCCCAATGAAAAGCAGGGGTGTCACTAGCACGTTAAGAGACCATACAATAAGTGTCAGGGGCCCGAGACTGTTCAACTGCCTCCCAGCATACATAAGGGGGATTACCAACAGACCCCTGGCAGTCTTCAAGCTGGCACTGGACAAGCACTTAAAGTCAGTTCCTGATCAACCGGGCTGTGGCACGTACGTTGGTTTGCGTGCAGCCAGCAGCAACAGCCTGGTTGATCAGGCTCTGATCCACCAGGAGGCCTGGTCAAAGACCGGGCCGCGGGGGCGTTGACCCCCGGAACTCTCTCCAGGTAAACTCCAGGTAATCATTGCAACACTCTTTAACAAGTCCATCAAATCCTCTACCTTCCCTACAATTCTCAAAATAGCGAGGGGTCACCCTGATACATAAAGGAGGAGACCAAACAGACTTGAATAACTATAGACCAATATCCAACTTACACCCTGTCTCTAAAATCTTTAAAAAATTAATTCATAAGCGAATCTATTCCTACCTCATCTCCCACAACATACTCAACCCCTGTCAGTTTGGGTTCAGGCCTAATAAAAATACGAATGATGCTATTATACACATGCTTACACAAATATACACTGCACTTGAGAAAAAAGAAGTCCCACTGGGGATCTTCATTGATTTACGTAAAGCTTTTGATACAGTTGACCACGATTTGCTCCACATAAAATTGTCACACTGTTATAAGAGGGCACTTCCTCAACTACCTAAAGTCATACCTCGGCAACAGAAGCCAATATGTGTACACAAATGGAGCAAACTCTTCCACACAGCCAATTACAGTTGGTGTCCCATAGGGAAATGTTCTTGACCCTCTTCTCTCTCATTTACATAAATGACCTACCAAATGCATTGCAACTATTCAAACCCACACTGTTTATAGATGATACTACATACATCTTCTCACCCATGCCCAGTCATGCTAGCTAATACTGTAAATACCGAATTACAGAAAATATCTTCCTGGATGATGACTAACAAACTTGCTCTCAACATTGACAAAACCTACTTCATTCAGTTTGGAAACAGAGCTACAGATGTCCCTCTTAACATAATGATAAACGGATCACCTATCACAAAGCTCACAGAGGGAAAATTCTTAGGAATCCACCTTGATAATAGGCTCAAATTTCAAACACATGTACAACAAATTTCCAAGAAAATTTCCAAGACTGTAGGCATACTATCGAAGATACGGTACTATGTTCCACAGTCAGCCCTCCTGACCCTATATCACTCAATCATTTACCCCTATCTCACCTATGGAATTTGTGCATGGGGCTCAACAACAATAAACCATCTCAGACCATTAATTACCCAACAAAAGGTTGCAGTCAGAATGATAAATTCCCACTACAGGCAGCACACTCCACCAATATTCGAAACTCTAAACCTACTCACCGTACAAAACATCCATACTTATTATTGTACCTACTACATACATAGAACACTTAACTCGGATATAAACCCTCCCCTCAAACGTCTCCTTATCAACCTCAACAGAACACATGACCATAACACAAGGCACAGATCACTCTTTGATGTTCCTCGTGTCCATCTCACACTATGCAAAAACTCAATGCACATAAAAGGCCCAAAAATCTGGAATTCGTTACCTGTGAACATAAAAGAAACGCTGTCTGTTTATAAATTAAAGTCTCTTCTTAAAAACCACTTGCTCACCCACAACTAAATAAATACTGCATAACTGTATCTTATAAATTACATGTATAACCTGTGACCCTATCAAACTTTGTTTTTTTAATTACATTACCTAACAGAATACTCCATTCTCTTGAATACACAGTAACTCATCAAATGACCATATGACCTGCCTTTGAAATACTCATTTGTGCTTAATTGTTATTTGCTTATTGTAATTTTTACCACTGAATATATCATTGCTTAATTAATCTTAAGTTAATTTTAAGCCTGCCCATAATGCTCTGCATACAAGGGGCTTTTGGCATGTACACTTAACCACTGTATTTCTTTGTACATCTATGTATCATGTCCAAATTAATAATAAATAAATAATTGATTTTCAGTGGAATTATTTCCTAGGATGCCTCCCCATAACTGGCTAAAACCTAGTACATAATCCAGTTTATAGATAGTTGAACATAGGCAGCAGGAGAGATGTCCATACATCTTGCTCCACCTGGGAAGCAAACATAGATATTTCTGGTTGAGTTGAACATACTACCATTGAAGTAAAGGGCACTATCCTGCCAAAGTTGACTATTACCCCTGATATCATTGGCTGAAAACTATGGGAGATTGATGATATGAGCACTATTATGTGATTCGCATACTAATTTGATTAAGGTGTAGACACTGTGACCTTGTGGAACAGCTGCAACCCCCATACATAACAAGGGTGGTGTCAAGTCTGGGGAAAGTGTCCAAGCGAAGTTACCTTATTAGACTGAATTTACAGTTCTCCCATACAGTACTAACTTCTGAATTCTATTTACTTCATAGTTTAACATTGTTAACCGCTCTCGATACTGTTTACTTTATAATTTTGCAACATTACGATGTTAATAAAAGGTTACCTTCTAATGACTGCTCGAGTTTTATTAGTCTGTTTTTTGAATGTTGGCTGTTAGTATCTATATTTTTAGGGTGTACCTCAACAGCAATATCGGCAAGCTCCAGGCGTTCCTCCACCGCAACAGCAGCAGCAACATTATCAACAACCACAGTATCAACAGCCACCACAGCAGCAGCAATTTCAACAACCAGTTCAACAACAGCAGTATCAACCTCCTCCACAGCAGCCACCACAGCAGCAGCAGTACCAGGTAGTACTCTGCTTAAATTAGTTTTGCTCATTTTGTAATCATTTTGCTGTAAGTATCTTGGGTAAAGGTACCAGTCATTTCATTTTCAGTAATGAAATATTTTAATTGAATGTCAAATTGTTCTTTGAGATGTTGTTATTTCAGTTCAGTTATTTAAGGAAGATAAGTTTCCAGAAGGAATAAAGGCTCAAGGGATGTCTAAGATTTTTTAATACATATGCCATCTCCCATAGAGGTAAGCAAGTTTATTTAGGCACAGGTGCACATAAGATCAATTGTGATAGTGTAAAATACCTAGGATAACCTAAAAAAGTCAACGTGATTTATATTCATTGGGGTCCTTGAAATGTATAGCCCCAGGAAAAAGGAAACAGATTCACCATGACTCTGGTCACTGTCTTGCCAAAAGTGTGCTGAGCTGCAACATTCCTGCTCCTCTTTCAGAATGCAAGTGCTGTACTTCCCACCTCCAGGATCTGTGCTTCCTGGTTTATCTGATTTTCTTCATAAATGTTAACATGCTCACCCTCCAATAGCACGTTAAGCAGTAAAAAACACTCTTTTCTACTCTGATGTAATGCACTTGCAGAAGCCTGTTGATTGTTCAAGCCCCTAGCACTTGAAAACCCCTCCCCCTCCCTCCAACAGTTTTTTTCCTTCACCCCCAGATTTACATTTGCTTTTGGCATCCTATTCTGCTAAATCCTTTCAAAATGCCAAAAATAGCTATACAACCACTCCTTGGCTCTGTGAATTGTACTTTTGATAATCCCATGCCATCTAATCTTCACACTCTGACATATCTGCGTAACATTCACACCGTATATTGCTCTCGAACATTACATCTCCACTGCCTCCAGCCCCCTTGCTTCAATATTGAGAGCCCATGCCTCACACGCATACAAGTGTTGGTATCACTGTACTCTGATGTGTTCTTCTTTGTCTCCATAAATTAACTTCTTTCCACAGATGCCTCAACACACTACCTACCTTTATTTTACACTTGTCTATTCTATGGCTCACCTTGTCTTTCATAGACCCATCTGCTGATATGTCTGCTCCCAAATATCTGAATACATTCACTTCATATTTCCTCACCCAGTCTGATATCCAGCTTTTTTTTCTTTTTCCTAAACTTTCTTTTAGTTACCTTTCTCTTTTCTATGTTCATTCTTAATTTCCATCTTTCACATATCCTCCCAAATTCCTCCTCCAACCTTTGCAACATCTTTTTGGACTTGAAAAAATAATGTCACTGGCAAAGAACAACTGTGACAATTTCCACTTTGTATCAGATTCATTGTCTTTCAGTATCACACCTCTTTCTAACACCTTAGTATTCACTTTTTTACAATCCCATCTATAAATATGTTAAACTACCATGTGGCATCATGCATCCCTGTCCAAAGTCTACTTTTTACTAGGAGATCTTAACCTGAGCCTCACTATTCACATGTAAACATTACTTTTCTAAATTCATAAATGTGACAGATCTGTACTTATCCCATACCTTTCCTAAATCTTCCTTGTTCCTCTGCACTCCTACTTTTTTTTTCTTTTTTTACTCTAAACTCTTTTTAAAGATATTCCTTACATTACCCAATACATGTATACCTAAACTTATTCTCCCTATAATTCTTTAACTCTCATTTCCCCTTTTTCACCTTGTTTAATCATAATAATATCTTTATTTCTACAAGTACATGTACAAGGTATACAGGTCTAGCTGACATCAATGACATACTACAATATAGAAAGCCACTTGTTATGCTGAGCATTTCAGGCAAATTAGGTCAGTTTTGGGCCAGGATACTACCCACACCAGTCAACTAACACCCAGGTACCCATTTTATACTGATGGGTGAACAGGGACAGCAGGTGTCTTATGGAAACACATCCCTAATGTTTTCCAGCCATACCAGAGATTCTATCTCCAGACCTCAGTGTGTGAGCCAAGTGCGCTAGCGATCGAGCTACGGGACACTGTAAAAGAGCTTGGCTCTCTGCCAATCTTTAGGCTCCATCCTTTGTCTCATGCATATACATGTATATTGAACATATTCTCTAGCAACTCCAAAAGTCTATCCTCACCTGGTTTTAACATGTCTTAACTCCATCTGTCCTAGCTGCTTTACCCTCATTTACCCACTCATCTGACTCTGCCTTACTCCTATGTTATTCTTCCCTTTCCACTGCTTGAAATTACTGCCTCCTTTTTTTTTTTTTCACAAGCATTTAACAGCTGAAAAAATTTATTCTGTTTTCCCAACACCACCTCATTTGACATCTCTGTTTCTTTAACTTCTAAATTCATTCCCTTCCCAGGCTTTCTCAGCCTATTAGTCTCCCTCCAAAACTGTTTCTTATTCTCATCAAAGTTAATTAAGACCTCGCCTATTCACACCCATAAACTTTTGCTGCATACTCTAGCAATCCATTTTTAAATGTACCCAATACCTCTTCATCCTTTCCCTCATTACCTGTACTTTAACATACCTTTCTTCCAATAATAATTTGCTCATATCTTCCCATATCTCATTTAGTTCATTCACTTTTACTTTTACCCACTGATGACAATCACTTTGTGCTCCATTTTCCTCTTACTTTCACTTATCTACTACTTAATAATGATCTGACATATGTTACCCTTTTAAAAACATAAACATGCAGAAATCTACACTTTTTCTACTATTACATAGTCTAGCAAACTGCTGTCATTATCCACTATATCATAGCTTGTATACTTATTTTTCCTAGACATGAATACGTATTTACCAAACTTCTTTCTATACATAATACAGTTAAAGATCCCTATTATTATTAACCCCTGGCACTCCAAATTTACCTGCTATGTCATCTACAACAGTCTCTCCCATTTCAGCATTTATGTTCCCTACAATAAGAAGAATATAGTATTTATTTATATGCAGTAATTTTAATCTCCATTTTTTATTTCCATCTGCATCATTAGGAAGCTATTGCAAATCTCTGAATTATGGTTGCCAGTTTGCACATTTTTCACCAACTGTTTTATTTTCTAGCAGTCATTGCCTATTTGGGTCTTTGAAAAGCTTTGAATACAGAAGTTCCATTCTTATGTATAGAGCTCTTTCTCCTTTGCATCCTTGTTGCAAAGTATTGCAGTATGTCTTCACGCTTACAGCCACTGTAGTGGCTGTAAGCGTGAAGACATATTGTAATAAATTCCCTTGGTATTTTGTATACTAGAAGAGAGTGTTGGAAAGCCTTGGTCTTTATATGCATTTAATCCTGTAGCATTCTATAATGGAAATTGTGGAGGATATTTAAATCTTTTTCTTAATGTACAGTACAGTAAGGCCCCGCTTTACGGCGTTTCGCTTTATGGCGTTCCACTAATACGGTGATGTCAAATTATGACCAAAATTTGCTATACGGCAAGTGGTCTTTTAAATACGGCACCCCTCACCCGGTTTGTTTACATTTTCCATGACCACATCTATTATGTCAGGAAACTTTCCAAAATTTCAAGTGTTTTAAAGTTTCTGCATATTTTATATGTACTCTGATAATTATACTTGTGTACCTGTACCTAAATATACTTACACACTGTGCTGGTGTGCAGGTACACATTAAAATCGCTAAGTCTCTCTCTACTCATGACGCCAATACTACGTAATAATAATCACTCTTGGGCACACTAAATGTCTTATTTTACATCAATATAGGCATTTTCATTAATCCATCTATGATATTTTCCTCAAAATTATATATGAAACCCATTACATATCATATAAACATGATATATACACTCAGAATAAAAATTGACGTAAATATGAGATTTGTTTACAAAGCAGCTGTGTAGGTGGTGTCGGAAGAATTACGTTTTCTCTAGTCAAACACTGGGGGTAACTGTAGAAAAATATTCTTTTCGTATGCCTTTACTCTATGTATAGCAATTCATGACCCTTGTGGGTTTAGTGTTTTTTATAATAATAATTTTATTATTATTATTAATATTATTATTATTAATAATATTATTAATAATAATAATAATAATAATTTTATTATTATTATTATTATTATTATTATCTTCATTCAGTCTAAAAATGGTGTGTTGCTGTTTGTTTATTCTGAACTAACTTGTACAACTTGTACACAATGTAAGAGTATTTGTATTGTGAGGTAATTATTATTAAAATAAAAAAATATTGAGGTAAATGTTTTACAAACTCTTACAAATGGACGTGAATGAACTAAAAGTAGACACATATTAATACTCATTTATTTCGCCTGACCAAGTGATCGTCCACTACCTGTTCAGTTTGTGTTCTTACATTGTCTCAACTCTGTATCTCGTTCTCTCTCTCGTTTACTCTTTCGTTAACTAGTTGGCTCTCATTGACGATAGCGTCTAAGGTTAGCTGTAATAAAAAAAGAAGTCGTAAGCCTCTTGTTTTAAGTGCCAAGTTAGAGGCTGATGGTGTGCCATTCTGATTTTATTCAATAAACACCCTGCCACTCACCTCTCACACATTAGTATTAATATTTTAAGGTAAGTAATAAGTGTACTCTGTGTGTGTATTACCTTTTATTGTGTTTTTAATGCCTACTTCTATTGCTAACTTAACCCCTTCAGGGTCCAAGGCCAAAATCTGAAGTGGTGCTCCAGTGTCCAAGAAATTTTGAAAAAAAAAAAATTATTTTTTCTTACAGAATTAAAGAGCATATTTTTGTGAAGGTAATAAGACAAAAAAAAAAATTCTGATCAGTACTTACCGAGATACAGTGCCAAGAAGTTTGTCAAAAATGATGTGGTGGCGGCAACATCGACGAATTCCACATACGCGCATTACATTATTTTGCGGTTTTTGTTGTTTTTTCCTTTTCTTTTCCAATTTTTTTCTATTCCTACTAACATTTGGGGCCTGAGAGACCAATACTGTATATAATGTATATATATAAACTCACTGTATTGAACACAATAACCGCACTAAAGTTATTATCATATTATTGTTTAC